GTCTGGTCTACATAGTGAGTTCCAGGACAGCTGGGGCTACAGGGAGACCCTGTCTCAAAAAGACAAAAAACAACAACAACAACAAACAAACAAAAAAAAAGCTCCTTTATGTAACTTTACCTGGGAGTACCTCATCTTTTGACTGTGTCTTGTTTGTAAAAGTCTATCCAAGTTTGGGCTCAAATGCCATCTTTTGATACATTTCTCTACTTTTTCCTAATGTTCTAATTTCATTTCAAGCATATTTTTAAAAGAAATTTTATTTATTTTTTTCTATTTTATGTGTATGAGTGTTTTGCCTGCATGTATGTAAGTGCACCATGTGTGTGAAAGGCACAAAGAGGCCAAAAGAAGGCATCGGGGCTGGACAGATGGCTCAGTGGTTAAGATCACTGGCTGCTCCTGCAAAGGAGTCAGGTTCAAATCCCAGCACCTACATGGCAGCTAACAACTGTCCGTAACTCCAGTTCCAGGGGTTCCGACACCTTCTTCTGACCTCCATGGGCATTGCATGACATGGGTGCACTTACACACATGCAGGCAATACACTCATACATACGAAATTAAAAAAATTAAAAAGAAGGCATTAAAAGGCCTATTTTTGTCATAGCAATGATTGCCGTGCATTATAGTTTTCACAGGTCTGTACCATCCAACAGATTTGAGATCCGTTATATGCACATATCATTTAACTTTCTCTTCCCAGCATGAGGCGCTGAGTAGCTATTTTATTACTATGATAAGCCTATTTGTGTGACTTTCATCGTGAATCTGATTTATCTTATTTTTCTAATTTTCAGCTTTTGCACTTGGACTATGATTTAAATTCTAATGCCCCGCCTGATCCAGCAGGTGGTTCAAATCTAATTATAATAACCAATTTCATGTTGGCCTTTGATACAGTTCTGTATCTAGTCCTGATGATGTACTTGGAAAAAATTCTGCCAAGTGAGTACAATATAATGAAAATAGGACACCACTTTAACAACTTTGTTTCCCCAGCCAAATCTTCTAACACATGCGCTATTCACATTTCAAGAACTACTCTGGGTGTCGGCAGGAAGGCAATCAACAAAGTTGTCGCCACTGGCCAAATTAGTTCTTTGTTTCTTTCTTGCCCCTTGATTGTTCAGAAAAGAAACCTGAATTTTGTGTATTGAGTCACTAGTCTGTATTTCACTTTTCTCTGTTATGACTTATTTTGTCATTGTTGTTTATTTGTTTATTAATTTGTGGTGCTGGGGACCAAACACAGGACCTCCCGCATTTTACACAAATGCTGTACCACTGGGCTTCAACCCCAGCCTTGGCTTGTTTCTTTTTAAAAAAATCAGTTGAGAAAGCGCGTGACTAAATGGGTCTGTTAATCATGAAAATTTATGGCTGCTTTTGTGTGACTAGTTAGAAATTCTGTGTCCTGCCTGCATATCAGAACCACACAGTGAAATGTGAAGAAATAAGTCCAGCTCATGCTAGATTCTATTGCAATTTATCAGCAATGTAACTGGTTATCTGTAGTGTTGACAAGCTCCCCAGGGCTTCACAACACACACACACATACACACACACACACACACACACACACACATACACACACCAAAAAATCAATATGATCAGGACCTGGTGGTGAGTTCTATAATCCCAGCTACTCTGAGGCTGAGGTAGGATGATGATAGTTCAAGGCCATCCTGGGCAATGTAGTGAGACCCCATCTCCAAAGAAAGAGTGAAAAGCAGATCAGGGCTAGAGCTCAGTGGTAGAGTGATTACCTAGCAGGCACAGGCCCTAGGTTCAATCTGTAGAAGTAAACACGAAGTCTCTTTGTTGTAATTTCCATAGGAATGAGTTCCAGGTGAGCAGGGAATCAGCTTTCTTCACATATAGAACCCAGGCATTCAGTATGTGTGACGCATACTAGAGGCTCCGTGGTGAAACGTTAGTTCATTTTTATCTCCTTCTTTTTTTGTTTGCTTGTTTTATTTTATTTTATGTGTATGAGTATACTGCCTGCATGTGTGTAAGTGCACCCGTGTCATGCAATGCCCGCGGGCAGAGGTCAGACGAAGGCACTGGATACCCTGGAATTGGAGTTACAGATGGTTGTTAGCCACTATGTGGGAGCTGGGACTCGAACCCAGGTCCTCAAGAGCAGTCAGTGCTCTCAACTGCTGCATGTTGTTTTATTTCTCAATAGCACATCTTTACTGTGCATTATGGGGTATGTGATATACAGTGTAGAGTGAGCATATTCATCACCGTATAGGTTCACCCTTTGTGATAAGAATATTCCAAATCTTCTCTTGTAGCAATTTTGAAAATGCAGTACAACATTGTTAAAGTTGCCCTCTGCCCTCCTGCCTATGACTTTGTACCTGTTGACTAATCGCTGTCTGTCCACTTGCCCCTCTGCCTCCCTTAGCCTCTGGCAACTTCTCTACCCTCTACCTCTATAAGAACATCTTTCTTTATACTTTACATACAAATGAGAGCATGTGGTGTTTGTCATATTTTCCTTATTTCAGTCAATATAATGCCCCCCCCACCGGGGTCATCCATAGGCTCTCAGTGGTTAGTTAAATTAGTGGTGTCACTGTTCGGAATAATATAGAGGCTCCTTAAATATTTTTAAATAGAACTACCACATGACCCAGGAATCCCATTCATTACTAGGGATACATCCAAAGGAAATGACATCAGGATGCCAAGGATACCTAAAGCCCCAATAATAACTGTTCACAATAACTGAAACGTGGAAACAACCTAACTGTCAATCAATGGATTAGAGCAGATAAATGCAGCACATATACACAATAGAATACTATTCAGACAAAAATCCTGTCATTTGTAGCAGCATAGTCAAACCTGAAGGTGATGTTTTTCCTCTTTTTCGTCATTGAAAACAAGCCGTGCATCTCTCTCATTGGTATTTCCTATTCAAGACAGAGCATCAAAGGCCCTGTCATTATAAAGCAAAAATAAAAACTTGTGGAAGGAGAAGACAAGTTGACAGCAAAATCACAGCTTTAAATAAAATTGATCATTGCAGCTGGAGCGATAGATCAGCAGTTAAGACCATTTATTGCTCTTACAGAGGACCTGAGTTGAGTTCTGAGTACCCATGTCTGGAGGCTCCCACAGCCTCCTCCAGGAGATCTGACACGGTCTTCTAGACTCTGAGGGCACCTGCATTCACAGGTGTACATACCCATATACAGACACACACACACAGACACACACAGATACACAAATACAAAAATTGATCATGTTCTTATAATCTTTCAATAATGATCACTATCTGTCAGAAAAACCCACTCCAATAGATGGCATGACATGCTATTTTGACTAAAAAAAATATATTATGCAATTCCGGTTGCTAGAAAAGATAATATATTGCCATTTTATTTTTTTCTAGCAGAGGTAGAATTATTGGACTATATAGAAGCATGCCTTCATTCACTTACAAATACTCTAACTTTTTCTAATCCTTAGCAACATTCCTAAGAAAGATATGTAAACACTTTTTCCTCTGTTCTGTTTGTGTGACATTGTGTTTATGGCAAAATGTTAACAACTTTTATTGATTTTGCACATGAAGTGTGCATCTCTAGTATACTATGAGTTCAGGAAGTTTGCTATCATGACCCTTATAACTCCTTTTTTCTTCTGCCTTTTAAAAGAGTTCACTTAAATTTTCTTTCTTGTTTATTTTCCTAACGTTTATGACCTTAAATAAACATTGCAATATTTACAATTGCATAATATCCTTTTAGGCAATTGTTTTGCTAATCAATGTAAGTTCTGTTTTGGTGTGTGTTATGTGATATATTTCAGCATTTAAAGTCCTTTCAAATATATCCTAATAGTATTCTTTAAATATTATATTTTTTCATGTTTTATCAAGCTTTATTGAATATGCTCATATTTTTCCTGTGTCTTTTTTCTTATGCAACATTTTATTCTAGTCACAATGATATTTTCCACATGTACAGTTTTTTCCTGCTTCAAAATCACTTTTATTTTATTAATACGATAGAAAATTTCTTTGATCAAAAATAACCAACTTGTTCGATCTTCCTATCATCTATTCGCAAAACCAAAATATAATAAGACTAGGGGTGACTTTATTCTTTCAAAGATAATAAGTAATATATTTTTGATAAATATTTTATTGAGAGAGATCTCCAAGGCAACACAATATGCCACATATGGTTGAACAAAATAATATTTCAGTCAAATACAACTCAGTGCTTCTGATCTTGAATTGTTGACTTCTGGTGATGTGCAAATAAGTTGGTATGGGACTGAGATACTTTTTAACCAAGGTGTAAGTTCTCGAAATTGTGTATCCTGGTGAAGCAAATAAAATAATCTATTGGCTTCAAGCAGAATTTTCCTTTTTAATTAATTAATTGCAAAAACACCCCAATGGCAGGGAAGAAAAACTGGAAGAACACCGTGTCCTTGAAGAGGCTTCATATCTAATATACATTTTATCTATGTTTAATAGCTTTATATATTTTAAACATAATAAATAAGAATGACAGAAAGAAAAACTAACCAGCTAAAATGATATTTGTAATAGTCAGTATAGGAAATAGTAACTAAAAACATAACATGTGTTGCTTACACAGAAAGGAATGCCGTAGCCCACATGTGAGGCGCCTACACAGGTTCCCTCAACCTTGCAGTATAGGTCAGTTGCAAAATATTAGTGAAATACGCATCTTCTATTTCATAATGCTTTCTAAATTGGGAAAAAAGAAATAACCGGTAAGTGGATTAATTTCAGACGAAAATGTTCTGGGATGCAAAAGGCAAAACTCTCAAGTTACTTTTTAAGAGTTCTACTTGGCATTAAGTTTGAATGAATTCTTTTGTCCCATTCTCCCTGTCTTGTACAAATAAGTCTTTTATTCTTAAGTCCTATGCTATCGTCTCTTCAAATATTTGTTCATATAGGCAGCCATTACTTCTTCCTTTGTTGAATATAATGACACATGGTCACAGAGACAGAATTTAGAAGGTCTAACATAGTTTTCAATCTCACTCCAATATCTGACTCTCTTGAGGCTAACCACATTTCGAGCAGAATTATCAGATTTCTGAATTTCCTTCTGAAAATGAGCACGGTTTCATTTATCATAATGGGGCTACCTTGGTGGGATTTTTCCTGATCAAATTACACGTCACCACAATTTCCTCATGTGGGCAGTGTGTTCAGCCTTGGCAGCAAAAGTTGCATTGCCCGGTGTCATTAGTGGTGGCTGACCCAGAATTCACTTCTTTCCCCGCTGTGTAGATGAACGCGGACTTCGACATTCACCCTTGTTTTTCCTGAAGCCTTCATTTTGGTCACAACAGCGAGTGCCTGATCCTGTGGTTCTTGAAGATGAAATAGATTCTGATCTTTCATCAAATGACTCTTTTGAACCAATGCCGCCAGAATTCCACGGCAAAGAGTCCATCAGGTAACAAGGATGAGAACAGAGACCAGGCCAGGGCTGGGTGCTCAACAGGTAGCAACACAAGGCAAACCAAGCTCTCTTTGGGGTCTGGGGTCTGTAGAGGGTTAGAGGTAACTTTACCCACACTACAGACAGCGATTCCCACTTCAAATATAAAGAAAAACCCTGTCCACACTTCCTTTTCAGTCTTACATTGTTGACATTTGCATGAAATAAAATGTCAAATTTCACCCACAAAATAATTCAAGACCCTTCCCCGGACTCTCGGCCTTTATCTCTTGTTCTTTTTCTATCATCACTCGTGGCCCCATTTCTTTGATTGGCAATGTTTAGCCACATTTGCCCCCAGTTAATTTATTGTTCTTCCTTCTTATTATGTGATTACTCTCTCTCCTCTCTCTATCCTCTCTCTCCTCTCTCCTCTCTCTCCTCTCTCCTCTCCCTATCCTCTCTCTCCTCTCTCCCTCCTTTCTCTCTCCTCTCTCTCTCCAGTACTGAAGATTGAACCTCTGATCTTGGACATGTTAGGTAGTACTCTATCGCTGAACTATATCCCAAACCCACTTTTCACTTCTTTAATTTTAGACAGGGCCATGCTGGCTGAGTTGCCCATCCTGGCCTTGAACGCTCTCTGTAGCCCAGGCGGGCCTTGAACTTGCAGCGTTTCTGTTTCAACCTCCAAAGTAGCTGGGATCTGGGGCCTGTAACTATGGGTCCGGCTCTTATTATCTCTTGAAAGAAGATGAAAGCATAGGAAGGAAGAAAAAAAGAGAAGGTTAGAGACAGGTGTGTTTTTCAGAGTCACACATGTCTTCAGTGTGACAACAAAATGCATTCTTCCTAATGTGAACTCGGAAGGAAAGTCCTCAAACTCCTGACCAGCCCTTATCCATCCATCAGTGACGTGACACATCACCCTCTGATTTCCCAGCCCACTGAGCTTCTAGGGCCCATTTCAATTTTCATATTAACCTGTTCCATATTTGTTTTTGATGCTTATATGTGTCCTGAAACCTAGGCTACACTTAGCTAAGCAAAGCCATTTCTTCACTTGATGTGTTTCTGTTTTCCTTGCTTCTGTTTCATCTCTTCAGGACCTCAGTATGAGTTCTATGAAATGGCAGTAAAACAGGCTCAAACTAGAAATGGGGGAAAAAAAAAAACATTAGTTTCACCTGATTCCATTTATGAATTCTACTTCCTTGGAAAAAATTCCATGCAGATAAGATAGAATTACAGATCTTTAATGCCTGGGATATGCCAGGTGTATTCCCTTCTGACGTCATCAACGTCTCATCAACATCTTATACTTGTTGAAAACTTGCCATGAGTCAATGTTTTATTTCCCTCCACCACAATCCTAAAGCACTCCAAAATTTCAGGTTAGGGAAACTGAGGTTCACCTGGGGAATCAGAAAGTAAGTGGTGTAGGTGGAATGAGCTTGGGTGGGAGGGCTGTGGAGTCTATGTTCTTGAGATTATGATTCATCAACTCTCTTCCCTTCTCCACCTCTGAACATGCCTCTGGAGACCTTTCATCAAGATAACCACAGTTGGCTCCAGCCCACGCCAGGGGTCCCGTTCCCTCTTGGAAGCTCATCTTATCTCTTGGTCTGGCTTCCTTGATTGGCAGTTCAGAGATGATCTTGTTTTCAGATACTAATGTAAGGTCACACCCTGATCTATGGAATCTGAACATCTGTGGTGGCATCCACACCCAAAGTCTATCATTCCTCAGGAAATGCTAATGGGCTAGGAGGCAGTTTTCTAGAAGATTCTAGAATGTCATACAGCCATGGCCACATAAAAGTCAAGTCCCAGCTATTTCTGTGCCCTGAAGATAAAATCCATCCATTCTGCTAACCAAACTAGAATTGCAAACTGAAGAAAATGGTCACCTTGAAGTAGATTTTCTTTTTTTCAGAATCAGAAATGTTACCAAAGAATACAAAGGCAAGCCTGATAAAATAGAAGCTTTGAAAGGTAAAACATATTAATACACTGATGTTGATTTTTTTTAAACTTTATTTTACTTTTCATGAGCAGTTCATGGTAGTATCTCAAATCTGAAATGATATTTGAGTCACACGACAAACTTTGTTTCTCAATACTTTTTTCTACTTTATAAGAATTAGAATAAATGAATATTGAGAATTTGATGTATTTAAAATCTATACTATGTTAACATAAATATATTTGGGGTCTTGTATCTACAAACTCAGGTTTTTCTTTTGTAACCCAAATGCCTTTGGTACACATAAATGTATAAGCACATAAATAAATAAATAAAATCGAAACATCTCAAAGGAGTTTGGGGCATATAATAATTCAATGCTAGCATCCACTTCTAATTGCCTTGCAGTATCAATGAACCAATGATAACAAGGCATGTTTCAGTCATTTGAAAGAAGAAATTTTATTTTCAAGAATGAATATTTTGAACAATAACTTTAAAAAGCATACCTTATTATATTGAATTTTGAATATATCAGCTGGAATATTTATACTTGGGAAAACAATCATTCAAGCAAATAAAATAATCCATGTGCTCCAAGTAGGATTTTGCTTTTTTAATTGTCTTCCTTCCTTCCTCCCATCTCCTTTCCTTCTGTTTTCTACTCCCAGATTTGACACTGGATATATACGAAGGCCAAATCACGGCAATACTTGGTCACAGTGGAGCCGGAAAATCAACACTGTTAAATATTCTTAGTGGACTGTCTGTTTCTACCAAAGGTCAGAGCTTCTTTTTACAAATTCAATTTAACAAATAAATTACCTACTAATATGAAATCCTTCTGATTATTAAGCGCAAATACCACACCAATGAAAAAAATGAAGACTGATTATAGTGTTAGTCTATGAAAGTATATACTATTTAATTGTGATGTATGTCATGTCATTGTTTTCTTGGAGTTAGTTGCTGTTAGCATTCCAACTTGCATGTGCTGGGTTTTGCTGCAGGACAAGCACTCCCGAAACCTAAATAGAACTGTTTCATCTTGTTGTATGATTCTGTGGGTTGACTGAATAGTTTGCTCTGCTCGGTGCAAACTCCAGTTGGTCTGGGACCCTGGCCTCCCTCACAGGTTTCTGGCTTCTGTTAGGACAGCTATTCCTTCAGACTCACATGGACTTTCCGCTCCTAGGCTAACCTGGCATTCTGCATATGAGAGAGCGAGGATGGATGACAGTGTCAAAACTCTTCTTCAGCCTCAGCTTGAGTCACACTTATTAATATCTCACTGGGCATGTAGCCAAGTCTAAATGTGAGGGGTGTACGCACAGACTGTATCTTCACAGGGAAACTGCAGATGGAAGCTTTTCATTTTCCATGTACCTTATAAGCCAAATGGAAGTTGAGGGGCTAAGGAGGTGGCTCAGTTGGCAGAGTATTCACTGTACAACCTAAGAGCCTAAGATCTTCGATACTCACATTAAAAAATAAGCTAGGCCCAGCAGCACGTATCTGTAATCCCTGGGGAGGCAGAGGTAGACCCCCTGCACTTGCTGGCCACCCAGTCAGGCTGGATCAGTGGCCTTGAGATTCAATGAGAGTTCCTGCATCAAAAACTATGATGAAGAAGAGAGACTGAGGAGGTCACCCAGTGCTGGCCTCTGGCCTCCACACACATGTGTACAGTGCACACATGAACACACACACACATGCATCCACACACAGAAGAATTAAAGTCAAATTAAGTAAACCTTGAAGATAAAGTCATATATCTTAAATTACTTAATGGATAAGTTTTACTTAGGAATATTTTCATTTACTGACCATCCTGATGTGATTTCGTGATAGGCTCTGTCACCATATATAATAATAAACTATCAGAAATGTCTGACCTAGAAAATATCGTCAGCATCACTGGAGTTTGTCCACAATCCAATGTGCACTTTGACTTCCTCACTGTGAGAGAAAACCTCAGGCTTTTTGCTAAAATAAGAGGAATTCCATCACAAGAAGTGAAGAAAGAGGTACAGACATACATTAGAACTAATTTGTTGCTCAAACTGTGATTGTAAAGACCTATTTATGTCAAGATGCATTTCTTCAATTTCTTTGTATAAATCATTGTATAAAGTTGTGGTAGGAAAATATAATTTAAACAATAATATTCATATTAATATATAAATTGCCGAGCATATCCTTAACTTTGAATGCCAAAACTCATTTATTCCTTCAGTAACCATATGAGACAAATGTTATTCTCCCTATTTTACACATGTGAAAACTGAGGTTCAATAAAGCAAGTGACCTGACCAGAATTATGTAGCAGGTCAACATAGAGTGGCATTCAAACCCAGAAAGTTGGACTCCAATGTCTATGCTTTTAACCATCACATTTTATACTCTTGTTCTTAGGAATCAGAAATAAAGAGAGAAATCTTGGTATATGACATGACTGTTATAATTCATTTAGGTACAAAAAGTTTTGCTGGAATTAGAAATGAAAAATATTCAGAATGTCCTTGTTCAAAACTTAAGTGGGGGACAGAAAAGAAAACTAACCTTTGGAATTGCCATTTTAGGAGATTCTCAGGTAAGTCGGATCAGCTTTTTCAGGTGAGTTCAAACTTTTACAGAAACTGAGACTTTCAGTAATAGTTCAAACCTTTTATTTGCAAAGCGCATGCATAATAAGAGCAAAATCTTACCACAGTTATCTTTTAATATAAACAATAGGGATTCTATGTTGTTCTCTGGATGAACTTCACTTTAGGGGAAAACGCTAAATGTCTACCTCCCTCCTTTAGATTTTCCTGTTGGATGAACCCACTGCTGGGCTGGATCCCTTTTCAAGGCACCAAGTGTGGAGCCTCCTGAAGGAGCGCAAAGCAGATCGCGTGGTCCTCTTCAGCACCCAGTTCATGGATGAGGCCGACATCCTGGCTGGTAATGGCTGTCTTCCTTAAGTATCATGATGGGGGGCAGGGATGTTAAGGGATTTGAGAACCGCAGAGCAGTGCTCTGAACAGCTATATTTTTAAATTACTTATCTAGCTGAATCTAGTCGTCTAAACCTCTGGAGATGTGATTTGAGCACAAAGTATTTTACCCCCCATTTTGGTGTATCGTGTGTGTGTGTGTGTGTGTGTGCAGATGTACATCTGTGTGCAGGTCTGTGTGGAGGTCAGAAGACAACCTGAGGTGTTTTCCTCAGGAATCATCCACCTTGTTTTATGAAACAGGATCTCCCCCTGGCCTGGGGCTTGTCAAGCTGATTAAGCTGGCTGGCCAGTAAACCCAGGGACCCACTTGTCTCTACCTTCTCTGTGCTGAGATCACAGCTATAAGCATGTACTGCCACACCTGGGTTCTTGGGACCAAATTCAGGTCTTCATGCTGGCACAACAGACTTTTCACCCACTGAGCTATCTTCTAGCCCCATTTCAGTGTCTCATTCAAATGTATCATTGGGTTACATAGTGTCATGTTCTATCAGGAAACTCTCTGGGAAGTAAATGGAGTCTATATTCTAAGATATTGTTTTACTCAGAATTAAGGTAAGTCAACTTGAAATATTCAAACACTCTTAACGTTTGATCTATTAAGATACATAATATTTATCCACATAATTTAACCTCTCTGATGAGTTGAATGTGAATGATAAGAAATCAGCCTTGCACTATCAACATACCAAACAAGATGTTCTTTCTGGCATAATAGTGGAGTGTCCAGCATATGTACAACCAGAAAATTTTTGATTGGATATAATGCCCACTTCCAGGGGTGGAACACACATCTGGTACTGTAAATACAATGGGAGGAAGATCCTCCCACACCTGCCACCCCTCCAAGGCTCAGGGACTTTTATGGAAGAGGATGGAGGAAAGACTATAAGAGCCAGAGGAAGGGGTGGAGTGTTACCTGGAAGTGTCCACTGAAGAGTATCCCAGCAATCTACAGTCACACCTCATTTATGGAAGAGGATGGAGGAAAGACTATAAGAGCCAGAGGAAGGGGTGGAAGTGTCCACTGAAGAGTATCCCAGCAATCTATAGTCACACCTGCTTTCCACACTCATTAAGGAGTCAAGGGGGGAGTCAGTTACCCCTTCTACCCAATCAGTTGACCTTAGCTGCATGTGGGGGAGGGGCTAAGGCTATATAAGCTGAGAATGTCAGGAGGCACCACTCTCACCATTTTGTGCAGCTATCAGGAAGTCACAGGATCTGTATGTGAGTGTGAACCTTCCAGTACAGCTTTAAATGGGGGACACCCACTCCTCTGTAAATAAACCCCACCCTATGCTCTGTTAAAAAAAAAAGAAAGAAAGAAAGAAAATGATAGATGTTTGGATAGACAGATGAGAGGGATCTGACTGACCGCAAGTGGATGGACTTGCACTGGGGAACTTCTGGGGACACTGACTTGACACAGTGGGCCTTAACACCCAGGACAGAGTATATGCGTTCCAGTGGGGGGTATCAGAGGATGCTGATGGAGATGGGACTATAAAGGTGATTCCAGTTGTTTGAGATATTCTGTATGAAATACAACAAAATTTAATAAAAACAAGCTAAGAAAGAAAAAGAAAGAAAGAAAGAAAGAAACAAACAAACAAACAAACCAGCCTAACAGATTACAGGGCATCTGTTCACTGAGTCCTTATTAAGCCCTGTCTTTGGAAAAAGAGAAGTTCATGAATTAGATCATATAAATAATTACCTGTCTTTTCTCCAAACTTCTTGACAAACTTTCTTCTTTCCTTCTTCCTTTTCAGATAGGAAAGTGTTCCTCTCCAACGGGAAGCTGAAATGTGCGGGCTCTTCCTTGTTTCTGAAGAAGAAATGGGGGATCGGTTATCATTTGAGGTAAAGGACCTAGAAGGACTTGGCATCAATGAGTGTCGATGAGCACTGAACTAGAGGAAGGCGTGATGTTGGAGCCATCACTGCAACCCAGCAAACCCTTTTCTTGGTATCCACAGATTGTTGAAGATGTTTAAACAGTGTGAGTTCATGAGAGGCAGAGGCAGAGAGAGATTAGCATATTAGAGAGGCTAAGAATCTAAACTGGCAGCAACAGTTTAGAGAAATATGTAGAAATGCAAGCACCACACATTGTTTATTAAGGAAGAGGTGTAGTAAGGGAAAAATTTCAACTACTTTGCTTATATTTCATGCTGTCCCTGTTCCTTACCCAGACCGTTAACACAATTCTTTAGTTAAACCCTGTAGCCCTTTTTTCTTTCTCATTCTTCTCTTTTCTAGACTCTTTAGTTTGTTAATATCAATTATTATCTTGATAATAGCATTTTTGAGCTGGTAATGTTGAGTGATTCAGGGAGGTGTTCTTTATTTTAAGATTCTGGAAACTGCTGCTACCTTTATTTGCCACATGTCTTTGTCTGTTTTGTGATGGTGTAAGAGAACACCTGCAGTTGAATAATTCATAAAGAGTAGATTTATGACTTACAGTTCTGGAGCTTGGAAGATTCAGTTGAAGGTCCTTATCTAGCAAAAGTCTTCTTCATGCAACATCTTAGAAGCAGGAAGAACCAGAGACTGCATACAGGGTGCGGGGCAACAAACCGTTTAACAGAAAGCCATTCCCACAATAACTACCCCAGTCCTGCTGTGGTGGTATTGATACCTTCAGGTGGCAGCGTCCTTGTAACCTAAGCACCTCTTGCAGATCCTGCCTCTCAACACTGTGGTATGGGTAGTCAGTCACTGACATGTGAACTTTGAGCATTCTAAACCATAACAATGGGTTCATAAGTGCTAGGGCCAGAAACTGAACCTGATACTTTACACGTCAAATTGATTGTCAAAATCTAAATCTGTCATCATATATAATATTATTATCTTAAGCTGCTTTTTTCCATTTTTGTCGAATTTTAACAAACTTCATACAGTATATACAATATATTTTGATCATATTTAGACCCCTTTTGTTATCTGCACCCCCTTAATACCTCCCACCTGACTCTATGTACTCTGTTATATATATTAAACCTATTACGTCAAATTTGTTCCGCCAAAACTCTGTGGTGTGGGTCCATCCACTGGAACCTGGTTAACTTATCCTGTGTCACACCCTTAAAGAAAACCAACAATCCCTCTCCCAGCAGCAGTCAGTTGCCAATAATTCCTGGCTTCTCACCCAGTTCTCCACTTCTATGCTGGGATGTGTTGCCTGACTTGAGTTTACATGGGACTTGTGCACGCTGTCACAATCTCTGTGAGTTCATATGAGTAACTGCCCAGCTACTTGGAGAACTCTGTTCCCTTGTGATCATCCACCCCCTCTGGCTCTTACAACCTTTCTTCTTTTTCTGCAATGATCCCTGAGCCTTGGGTGGCAGAGGTTTGATATAGGCGTCCTATTCATGGATAAGCACCCTACAGTCTATTCTCTGCACATTGTGGTGGCCAGTGGTGGGTTTCTCTATATTAATTGTGTAGTGTTTTAAATTTATACCATCTATACTTAAGAAAGCAATCATAACTACATCAAGACAACAGTAACAAACTCTCCATGGATCCATGTTGCTCTCTAGTCTGTAAATTAAGCAACCAAGTAATCCTGGGTGGCTCTCCCTATTGTGACATCCATGCCCTGCACCCCCATCTTACTCACCACCTCTAGTTAAAGTGAAAGCTCCATTACTCCAGTGCAAGTCCTACCGTGACCTGCATTTCCCATTGTTTGACTTCATTCCCTTAAGTTGGCTGTTTCCATGAAAACATCTGTACTTGACAAAGTCCCAGTTATTTGAGTAGTTTCTCATTTGTGCTCTGATGATCTTCCAGTTCTGCACAATCTGATGTGTTCTTATTCCTCAAGTACTATGCTTGAATATCTTAGAAACTAAACCCTGAAACTCAGTTTTCTCACTTATAAAGTGATTGCAATAAAGGCTGCAGAATAATAAATGCGATGTTGCCTAGGCAACAACATGACAACATATGATGTTCCCAAAACAAGAAATGCTGGCCAGGATCCCCACCACATCATTAATCTCTTCATGGACTTCGGGACAATAATTTGCATAAGAGCTTTATTTTCTTCTTCTAAACCAGGAGTCAAGTGGGTAAGTGGGGCCCTAATCTAACCCACTTCTTATTTTGTGAAAAACAGATTTTTTATTTTGTTTTGTTTTTTGGACTGGGAAACAGCTTTTCAGCAGACAGATAATTAAAAATATTCACTATTGAGGCATTTGCAGAAAGAGCTTGCCAGCCCCCTTCCTTCCAGGGTGGAAGCTCCTTGGGGAAGGACGCTATGTGCCCCTGTGCAGTTCTCATATCCCCTAGCATACGTTCTTGTAATAAATATTTCTCAATTTCTTTTTAATTTCAGAGGTTTATCAGCATGGAGAAAAAATATGATATTTTTACTTAATTCTCTTGGTGGATTTCAGTATTTCTAGAAATGCCATACATTCTTGTATATATATGTACCTCTTATGAATACTTGCAATCATTTTTGCTTAAGCATTTGGCTAAATAAAATGACAGCTATTTTTAAGGATCTGCTAAATGCGACCACCATTATTATTCCATCTGTAGAGCAACCGAAGTGGTAGAAATCATTGATTTATCTTACTCATAAGGAAACTATTCAGCTATATAATATATTACACTTTTCAAATGTCAAAATCAAGTTCCAAAGTAAGATCACTCCAGATATTTTATCTACTGTGTGCTTTAGAATCTTGATTTTGTTTGCTGACCTACTTTTATATGTGTGTGTGTATATATATATGCATACATATCTTTTTTATTTTTATTTTATGTGTATGAGTATATTGCCTGCATGTAGGTAGTTGCAACCACGCTATACAGTGTCCACAGAGGTCAGAAGAGGAGTCGGAGCCCCTGGGACTGGAGTTACAGACAGTTGTTAGCTGACATGTAGGTGATGAGAATTGAACCCAGGTCCTCTGCAAGAGCGGTCAGTGCTCTTAGCCACTGAGCCACCTCCTCAGTGTTGGCTTACTTTTGTACAACAGGGAAATGACTACGGTGTTTTTTAATGGACAGACTGCTTTTCTCAATGATTTTTTTTTCTTATTCAATATTCTTGGATTAGTCCTGCTAGGGAAACCAAAACTGGAAATTCCATGTTCTGCCATAACCTTCTTTCATAACACTTAATGCTATTGATGATTATTTTACTCATGTTTAAGAATTCACTTTTATCCTCTACTTTAAACAGTTTCATTGAAACAGGATGATGTGGACTTGTCCACACTGTGCTCTCAGTACTTACAATGTTCCCACATACTAAGAACTGAATGGATTTGCACTGGATGAATGAACTGAATAATTGAACTTGTTTGGTACCTGTGACTGCCCAAAGTCCCTGAACCAGTAAAACAGCCCCATCTAGCCAAAGCCAACATCGCCCATCCTCCACAGTTCTTACCTTTGCTGCATCCCTGGTATTTCAAGTCTGTGACTGTTACCCTTTAAGGACCTGATTTTCTGCCAGTCTTCCCTGCCCACCCCTCCTGAGCCACAGGACCAGGAACTCTGAGTACTGACTTTGGCTTTTCCCTCATCACATTTCCGTGGTCCGTTTGTTGTTGCTGTTCTCTCGTTTCATGTTTACGTGACCTATTTCTTCCACTGGATTTTAACAGCCTTTTCTTGTCCCAAAGAAATTGGTCATTAGTTTCATTCTATGATAACTTTTATCATCTGCTATGTCTTCTTTTTAACATCAGTTTGCAGCTGAATGAGATCTGCGTTCGGGAAAATATAACATCACTTGTTAAACAGCACATCCCCGAGGCCAAGTTATCAGCAGAAAGTGAAGGAAAACTTGTCTATATGTTACCCTTAGAAACAACTTATAGATTTCCAGGTAATGTACCTGAACACAATGAAATAAAATATGGGCATAGTATTCGTAACAATAGCTATAACCATCACCATATTACTATATATAGTGTATATTATATTCAGATATTGAAACATGATCAAAAGATAACAAAATAATGGCATTTCATCTATAGTAGGAAACATATTCTAATGGTCGAATTGTAATGTTTGAATGTTTTAAGAAGCTTCTTTTAGTCTTCTTTCATCCTGTAGGGGGAGCACAGCCTCCTCCCGCACATTCTTTCTATTTTGCTGTTTATAACGTAAGTGGTTCCCACCATGTGTGGTAACTGGACTAGTTTCCTTGATGGATGAATCTTAGAGTTGAGAAATCCAAAGTTCCACAGTCAACTAAACTGTAAAAGTAAAACTAAGATACAATTTGAATATAAATAAATAATTGACTCTAAGAAAGGATTTCAGCTCGTAGCACATAATAGAAAATAATGCAATATATGGAATTTTAACAATGATCAATTATGTAATATTACTTTTTAAAAACTTTGCCCCCTTGTCAAGTATGATTTTATGTATTTACACCTCTTGGTTTGAAAAATGTGTCATCAGTTAATTCGTGAGATTTGGCATTTTGACTCATGGCTGTGTGTGTGCTTTAGAACTTTACAAGGATCTGGACAGCTGTCCTGGTCTGGGAATTGAGAACTATGGTGTTTCTATGACAACTTTAAATGAAGTGTTCCTGAAACTCGAAGGAAAATCAACAACTGATGAACCAGGTAATTATAATGCGATATAACTATCACATAAAGGTGCTCACCACATCCAGTGAAGTCTACATCTCAAGAGGACAGAGTTCCAAAGGTCAGATTGCAAATGTGATGTTTCATGATTAAGGCCATTCCTAGACAGCTTGTGTGAATTACCATACAGTCTTTGTCAATAGAGCCTTTTCTGAAAATTATTATTATCATTACCAACGTTGAATTCTTTAGTGTGGTCTGAAAACATAACCTACAATAAGTAGTCACAAAATATGACCCATAATTTTAAACATTTTTTAAATTTTATTGAGAATTACTATTGAAATATGGTTTGGCTTATTTGGTGAATGTTTCTTTTCCAATTAAAAATACTTATACATACATCCTATATGCAATGCATATGAGATTATTTATAGAATTATATACATGTAGAATATGTGCACCTTCATACATGTATAGTATGCACACCTCTATAACTTATATTGCATGAAGAAGTGTACAAATGTAGGTAGAGTTGGATGATAGTATTGTTTAACCTTGTTTGTTTATTTGCCTATATTTTCCATCAAGTACAAGTGAGAAGTATTAAAATGTCCAACTCTAAATCTAGGTGTGTCTAGTTTTAACCTTTGCTCCTCATCAGTAGGTAAACCATGTATTTGGAATCTATGTGATTCAGCACATGCTTATGTAGAATTAGTATGTTTTGTTCATACATTGCTTTCATTGTTGTTATTAAAGGTCCCCTTAATCTTTGATAATGACACTTAACCTGAAGGTCGATTTGTCTATTATCAGTTACAGGTGCCTCTGTTTTAGTGGATGGCGTGCTATTCCACTTTAATACCTCTTGTGTTTTGAAATTAAAGTGCATTTCTTTGAAACAGTATGCAGTTGAATTTTACTTTTTAATACATTTCATAATATATTTATTATAGCTTATGGTGTTCTGTTTATTTTTGATGTGGTAATAGTTAAATCTATCCTCTCAGTTGCATTTTCCTCTCAGTTTCCCTGTTTCTGTTGACCTTCTGATTCTTGCTTGTTGATTATGTGATTTCTATGGTGCCCTTTTAGCTGTAATCCTTTGCATTTTTACTATATATTATGATAGGAATATTTATTTGTTATAATATATACTCCAACATGACTGTAATACTTTACAGAAAATGTAAGCATCTTCAAATAGATATAGTTCTATCCCATTTCCCCTTGTGAGTCTGTTTCCATATGCTTTTTTTTATTTTATGTGTCTGAGTGTTTGCCTGCATGTATGTTAGTGGATCTGTGTCATGCAATGCCCTCAGAGGTCAGAAGAAGGCATCAGAGTCCCCCTGGAACTGGAGTTACAAATGGTTGTTAGCCACCATGTGGGTGCTGGGAATCAAATCTGGGTCCTCTGAAAGAGCAGCCAGTGCTCTTAACCACTGAATCATCTCTCCAGCCCCTCTATTTCTTTTGTATGTATATACACATATATATGCATATATATGTATATATGTTGCACAGTAATTACATATGCTCCATAGTTATTACTATTTTGTGAACTAAATACCCCCACCTGATTCAGATTTGTATAACTGTAGATAGATATCTATATACCTGAAATAATAGATTGTTGATGATGATGGAGAAGGCAGAAACAAACGAAACAGAGGTGAAAAAAAGAGGTTTTAATATGTTTTGTATTTTTCACACATTATGCCTTTATAAAATTTTTTTAAGACAGGGTCTAACTGTGTAGCATAGGCTTGCCTGGAACTCTCTATGTAGACCAAACTGGGTTCAAACTCACAGAGTTCTACCTGCCTCTGCCTCCCGAGTGCTGGTGTTCACTACCATGCCTGGCTTCCTTTATAGGACTTTTGATTTAAACTTTTCTCTAATACAATTTCTGTTTACTCTAAAGGCCTCCACTAGAATTTGTTGTTTGATACATTTGAGTTTTTAAATATGTAGTTAGATTTTCTATTGAACAGAAATTTTTTGAAATATAAGTATAAAATCATAACCCACAGATCCTAACAACTTTAGAAAGTCAAATAATATTTTAATGAAACTATAAATCCCTGTAAACCAATGATTAAGGAAAATTTTAGACATTTGGTATTACTCCACGGATTACAAGTTCTCTGATTAGAATGTCACTGTGCTTTTCTTCTGTGTTAGAACTGGCACAATGCCTGTGTGCCTGTCTTCATGATCACAAGGCTTCTCTTCTGCTCAGGCTATTTTGAATCCAGTTCTGAAGCTCTTTTCTGAGACTGCTTTTTCCATTCTAACATTGCCATGCACTCTGTTTAATAGTTTTGCTTTCTCTATTGAAACTCCCCTCATGTTCACTGATATTACCCGTAACTTCCAGTAGATCTCATCCCATATTTATCATAGATACTTTCATTTATTTTTTATTCTTTTAAATACTTTGTCATTTTTACATGTATGACTGTATCACCTGCACACATGTAAGTGCACCCATGTTGTACAATACCCACGAAGGTCAGAAGAGGGCATTAGGTACCCCTGGAACTGGAGTTATAGAATTATGTTAGCTGCCATGTGGGTGCTGGGAATTGAACTCAGGGCCTCTGCAAGAGCAAGCAGTGCTCTTAACCACTGAGCCATCTCCCCAGTCCCCATAGATATTTTTAAACCCATACATGTTGATTCCAACATGTAAACTACATGACTGATGACCTATGTGGTAACTGGGTGTTTTTCTCTTCTGTATGGGTTCCATTTTCCCACTTCTTCACATACCTTGCAAGTTTTATGGTATCATGGATATTATTGTATAAAACAATAGAGGGACTGGAGAGATGACTCAATAGTTAAGAGCACTGGCTGCCCTTGCAGTGGACCTTGGTTCGGTTCCCAGCACCCACAAGGTGGCTAGCAACCATCTGTAACTCGAGTTCCAGGGGAATCCAATGCCTTCTTCTGACCTCCACAGGTGTTGCATGGCACAGGTGCACTTATACACATGCAGGTAGTGCACTCATACACATAAAATCAACTAAAATTAATTTTAAAATGGTAGACTGAAGAAGGCAATATCAAGAAAAGGGGGTGATTCTCCTTGGTGACACTGCTGCTGTAGATGGCTGAATTGATCTAATTTAATTCTGACAAGTGCCCGTGCTTAGGGGAGCTTTTATGTGATTCTGTTCACTCTAAGATTTTTAATGGTTTGAAGATAAAATCAGACCTTCCTCTTAAGCATGACTTTCAATCGTAGCACTGGCAAAATTGTACAGATCCCTGTGGATGGATATACAGCTCCATACTGCCAAATTCCTGTCCCAACCAAGGGACAGAAGACCCCTTGGTTTCCAGTCTACTACCATACCATTTTTAATTAACTAACTAATTAATTTTTTCCATTATGGCATTAACCCGACTCTCCCTGTGATAGTTAGTCTTGATTGACAGGTGTTGTAGTTTGAATAAAAAAAAAAATCTCCCATAGGCTCATGTATTTGAGTACGTGATTCTCAGTTATTGGTGCTCTTTGGGAAGGTTATAGAGCCTTTAGGAGGTTTAGCCTTGCTAGAGGCAGTATGTCACTGGGGATGGGTTTTGCACTTTAATAGAACCCACTTCCTGTTCTCTTTCTCTGCTTCCTGTATGCTGATGAAAGTGTGCTCAGCCAGGTTTTAGCTCCTGTTAGTGTGTTTTCCCTGCCTGTGGTCTATGCCTTCCCTACTTGATGGACTCAATCCCTCTGAAACTGTAAGCCAAAATAAACCCTTTCTTCCCAAAGTTGACTTTTGTCAGGGAATTCTATCACAGCAGCAGAAATAAGATTTAGAGTCACCACGGAGCAAATCTTTGGGCATGTCTGTGAGGGATGGTCTAAATTACATGAAGTGAGGTGGGAAGAGCCAAGTCAATTATTGTAAGCAGTACCATTCTCTGGGCTGGGGTCCTGGACAGAATTAAAAGGAGAAGGTAAGCTGAGCACCAGCAGCCATTACCCTCTGCTTCCTGACAGTGGATCCTATGTGACCAGCTGCCTCGGGCTCCTTCTGCCTTGACTTCTCCACCATGATGGACTGGAATCTTAAATTCTGAGCCAAAACAAACCCTTCCTTCCCTAAAGGTATTGTGTCACAGCAACAAGGGAAGTAACTGATACACTCCCCTCCAATCCTGCTTTACCTCGGCCATCTCTTACCTTACTGTCCTACCTACATCCAGACTTGAGCATGTCAATGAATCATACCCAGCCAAGATCCATGTTACCTCAGTATATTGTTTTCTATATCACGTCCCAGGCTGAAGAATTACACCAAGGAAGGTTCCACATGCTTTGATGATTCCTTGTGCAAGACTGGGCACCTCCACATGACTATTTTCTCTTCCTGCCCCCAGCTTTTGTTATCCCTATGCACTTAGTGGACCTCAGAGGAAAGAATCAATAGTTATGAACTCATCTTGTGGTGTGGTCACCACATGATTCTCGACAGTCATAGCAGGCAACGTGTGGCTGTTTTGCTTGATCTGGGCTGTTTCTTCCTTATTGGTCCTTTCCTGCCTTGTCCCTAAGACATGGGTTCTAGGGATCTGAATTTAGGTCCTAGCACTTGTGCAGTGAGTGATTTACTAACTAGTCCCTAAGACATGGGTTCTGGGGATCTGAATTTAGGTCCCAACACTGGTGCGGCAAGTGATTTACTAACTAGTCCCTAAGACATGGGTTCTGGGGATCTGAATTTAGGTCCTAACACTTGTACGGTGAGTGATTTCCTAACTAATCCATCTCACTGGTCCTGAACTATTCTAGCATGGTTTTGATCACTATCTTATTAAAGATTTTCATGCTTTTATTTTTAGTGTGTTTTTGGGTCTGTGTTTGTACCTACATTGATCAGTATGCATGTTGAGGCTTGATATCAGACTTATTTTAGCAACATATAGTGAACATCACCATAGGTAGTTAGAGACTGTAGAGAATAAACAAAAGATCGCAAGCTCAAATACTGATTAGATGTTAAATCTCTCCAGTAGAGACCATTAACTACTAGGCTTCTGTTGTATTTACAGTTCACCCCCAGTTTGCAGCATGCCAATTTGTACCCTGTTTTTCCAGATTGAACACATGAGAGAATTGTTTCCTTTGCTGAGTCTTCAGGTACCCCTGGACATTGTGATGACTTTGCACACTTTCCAAACCTCTTTATCTTTTTCTTATTTTGCTTATTATTTTTACTTTTATGTGTATGAGTGTATTGCCTGCATATGTATAAGTGTACCCTTGCTGTGCAATGCCTGTGGAGGTCAGAAGAAGGCACCAGATCCCCTGGAATTGGAGTTACAGATGGTTGTTAGCCGCCATGTGGGTTCTGGGAATCGAACCCAGGTCCTCCGCAAGAGCAGTCAGTGCTCTTAACCACTGAGCCATCTCTCCAGTCCTCAAACCTCTTTATGTCCTTTTTAAAATTCTTTTTTTTTTTTTTAGCCAGGCATAGTGGCATACACCTTTAATCCCAGCACTCGGGAGGCAGAGGCAGGTGGATCATTGTGAGTTCAAGGCCAGCCTGGTCTACATAGTGAGTTCAGGTCAGCTGGGACTACAGGGAGACCCTGTCTCAAAAAGACAAAAAAAAATTCTTTATTTTTTGACATTTTTTCTTTGGGAATTTCATACATTTATGCTTTTTATTGTTTTAGGTTTTTGAGATCTGTGGCACTATTTTTTTCTAATTATATTTTTTATTCTTTGAAAGGTTCCTGCATTATACAATGTATACTGATTATGCCCATCCACTTCTACCTTGCTCTGACTCCCCTTGTATTTCCCATTCTGTCTCCTTTCCAACTCCACATGCTCTTTTATATTGTAATTAATAACCCTGAGTCCGATCAGTGCTACCCACGCACTTGGTGAGTGGTCATCCACCAGGACATGGGCAACATACAAGTGGCCAAGTCCCCAAAGGAAAGTGCTCTCCCTCCTGCAGCAGCCATCAACTGCAATAGCCCCTCCATGGGGGTGGGGGCGTCTCATGATCTCCTCTTCCATCCACACTGGAATTCTGACTGTCTTGATTGTGTGCAAGTCTTGTTCAGGTAACTACAGATGCTATGAGCTGATGTATGCAATAGCCTCGTCAGGTCATATCCAGAAGGCCATTATCATATTTCTATAGCCACATTATGAGAATCGCCTTTCTATTTCTTTCCTTTGGTTCAAGAAATGGCTCTTTTACCTATTTTCCAGCTCGAGGCAGAGCCAGGAAAGCCACAGAATGACCGTGGGAATACAGAAGAGTCTAATTGCCAAACAAATAGTAAAAACAATAGTAAAACAAATCCATGCAGTAATGCAGTAATGTCAGTGATGCATGTCTAAGGTAGAGCTTATAAACTGCTTTTCTGTATTTTGCAGAGACTGACATCTTGGGAGAAGGTCAAGAAGACAGAGTTGAGGACACAGAAAGGCTTATTGAGATGGAACAAATTTTCTCTTCTCTTACGGAGATGAAAAAGACCATCGATGGTGTGGCTCTCTGGGGACAGCAAATCTGTGCAATTGCAAAGGTCCGCTTGTTGAAGTTAAAGCACGAAAGAAAAGCTCTTTTATCTCTGTGAGTATCAGAGTATTCATCTTCTGCAGACAATGCATTATAAAGATTACTAAGGTCTAGAAACAAAAGAAAACAGTAAATAAAATTCCACATATCTACAAGACTGGGTAAGCATAGCAACCAGTTCAGTCCTTGGCCCTATTAATGATCTATTAGGAGACTAACTCATGGAATTTATAATGTTTCAGGGATGATTCTATAGGAAAAGTTGAAGTAAAGCAAATTTCCTTGTGCAATTCTTCTCATTCCAATTCTCCATTATGGGTATGATGCATACATGGCATATGGATTCTCTTTCCCAGGGTCTTAATGCCCCGTGGCTGGTCTACCGTTCCTTCCTTACAAGTCATGATGCTCTCCAGCCTTCTTCAGTGTCAGTAGCTTGCTGTCTGCTCTTACGCTATACATAACACTCTCCATTCCTGCTTCAAGACGCTTATCATCTTCCCTTACCATAATGTTGTCTGTGGTCCCTCAGTCACCAATAAATGGCTTGTCTCCAAGCATTGTATTGCTATAATATTTATTTATGTGTATGTGTGTTAGTCTATGCAGATGTATAACATGTATGTATAGGTGCATGCACCTGTGCACACATGTGGGGGCCAGAAGAAGGTGTTGAGCATCCTCTGTATTACTCTCTACTTATTCCTTTGATGTAGGATGTCTCTCAATCTGAAGCTCACATATTCTTGGCTAGGTTGGAAGCCAGCAAGCCACAGGGACCCTCCTGTCTCCACTGTCCCCTATCTGGAGTTATAGGTGTATTCAGGATGCCTTTTTTGTTATGTGAATGCTAAACTCTGAACTTTTTTATGTGCATGAGTGTATTGCCTGCATGTATATAAGTGTACCCGTGCCATGCAATGCCTATGGAGGTCAGAAGAGGGTGTTAGATCACCTGGAACTGGACTTATGGATGGTTGTTAGCCACCATAGCCACCATGTGGGTGCTGGAATTCAAACCCAAGTCCTCTGCAAAAGCAGCCAGTGCTCTTAACTGTGAAGCCATCTCTCCAGCCCCTAAAATCTGAAATTTAGTCCTCATGACTACACACCATGAGCATTGTGATTTCTTTTTTGTTTGGATTTCTTTTTCTCTGTAACCCCAGCTGGCCTGGAACTTACTATGTAGACCAGGCTTGCCTTGATCTATATCACAGAGACCCACTTGCCTCTGCCTCCAGGGGAGCATTGTATTTTAAATTAAGAACTAAAGAAATAGATAGCCTGCCATGTAATTCAATCTCAGTACATACTAATGCATCTCCCAACTCTCATCAGTGAAGCTCCTTCATACAACAGAGGTTGTGAACACAAAAGGACACACATGGCCAAAGTGCAGGGAATAAGAGCCTGCCAAGTGTGGGTCCTTGGACAGGACTCCTATATTAAAATCCACCCACCCAGGGCTCAGGGACCATTGCAGAAAAGGGGGTTGGGAAGATTATAAGAGCCAAGAGAGGAGGTGCATGACCATATGGAAACAGAGTCTTAAAGGCTCCTAGGACCTACAGCAACGGTGTCATGCACAAGACCCATGTGAACTCAACAGATAAAAGCCCAGCATAGAACTGTGGAAATGAGCAACAAGCCCCAACCCAATCTTAGCCAAAGAACTATTGACAGCTTGCTGGGTGAGGAAGAGCGGATTGATAATTGCTGGGTGAGGAAGAGCAGATCTTCTTAAAGGGAGGGACTCTAAATATGCTGACTAGCCCCCGGTGAATGAACTTGTGCTGAGGGTTATCTGGGAACACTAATTTGACTAGATCGACCTTAACACAAATGACAGAATGCATGAAATCCAGTGGCGGGGGCTAGAGGAGGGTGCCGATAGGGAAGTGGATATAAAGATGATAAAGATGTTCTGTATGAAATGCACAAAAATTCTATAGAAAATTACAAAAAGACTAAACAAAATTTTGATGAGGAAATAAGCATGATTTAAGAAGAAAATCCTTAATATTAAACTGGTAAATCTCTATAAGAAAGCCTAGAGTGAGCACAAAATGAAAGGATGCGTTCATTTCACAAGATTTCAGACAAGATGCCATCACAAATTAAGGATGAAGAAAAGTTCCAAAATAATAAACATGATGGCATAATGGAATTTGTCAACTTTAAACGGTGAATGAAGGAGACTAAAAACTAAAAATTAATTAAAAAATTGAGCCTGGAGACTAAAGAAACTGTATGGAATGGGGGTTATAGAAAGTGAACTGGGCGTGAAGAAAGCTGAATGAAATGAGGGTGAACTGATCAGCAGTAATCACACTGCAAGCAAAGAGATAGGCAGAGTTTGGACATCAAGACCAGGGGTCCATATCCCAGGAGATAAGTGGTATGGGATCCCCAAGAGAAAGAAAAGTGATCAAAGGGTAAATCTACAGTTTATCTTCACCAATTTAGAGGCAGGAAAAGAGACAAAATGCTCCCAAAAAGTGAGGCAAATAATGAGCTATATAATTTTCACAATTCATTGATCTCATCATATAACAATCCATTCAGATGATTGCCAAGGGCTAGAGTATCGTAAGAGTCTCATATTGACAATTTTCTTCTGTTCAGGCTGCTGATCCTGGCAGTTGGATTTTTCCCTCTTCTTCTAGAGTATATCTTGGTGAAGATACATCAGAACAGTTACACTTGGGAGCTTTCCCCTCACTCGTACTTTCTGGCTCCTGGACAGCAACCACAGGACCCTCTCACACAGCTACTGATCATCAATAAAACAGGTAACAACATATTTCAAATTCATGTAATTATCAATATCTCATTTTAAAAGTGTTTAATAGAGACTGAGGGAGGGTTATAAGAGAAGATCAAAGGTTGCAGGGGCTGGAGGAGGAGGCAAGAGTGAAGGAGAATCTACTGAAAGTACCAGAATGTTCAAAAGTACCATAATGGTATCCGGTACTTTGTATGCTAATTTTAACTTTTAAATTAAATTTTGGGGGTTATTTATATGTATGAGTGTTTTTGCCTGCATATATGTGTGCCATGTGCATACAGTGCCCACTGAAGCCAGAAGAAGGTGTCAGATCCGCTGGAACTGGAGTTACAGATGGTGGTTGGCCACCATGTGGGTGCTGAGAACTGAACTTGGGTTCTCTGCAAACACAGCCAGTGCTCTTAACTGCTGAGCCATCTTTTCAGCCCTGTTTTCTTAAATTTAAAAAAAATAAGATAAAATAATATCATGTTATTTATATATACCACATTTAAACATTCATCTGCGAGCGGACATCTCCCCAATAACTGGTTATTCTGAATAATATTTTTATCAGTTGTCATGTATAATTTTTACATAGATATATTTTTATTTCCTTGGTTGTCTATCTTTTGGGATTGTTAGAACATATGATACATATGTTTAACTTCTTAAGCATCTGCTAATCTGTTTTCAAAGTGAGTGTACCACTTTATTTACGTACTAGTCATTTATGAGGGTTGCAATTCCTGCACATCTTAGATGATGCTCATTATTTCCTGTCTTCTTTTTGCAGCTCTCACAGCTGTCACATGGCATGGTGTGTGTGTATGTGTGTGAATACACGCGTGTACATGTATATGTGGAGGCCAGAGGCCAGTGTTGGATATCTCCCTCCATCATTCTCCACCTTGTTTTTTGAGACAGGGTCTCTCACTGAACCTAGAGCTCCCCAGTGAGCTCCAGGAATCTGTCTCTGTTTCCCCAACACTGGGATTATAAGCGTTTGCCACTTCATTCGTCTTTTTATGTGAGCCCTAGAGGTCTGATATGTTATGTCACATCTTAGGGGCAAGCATTGAGGACTTTATCCATTCTGTGGAGCACCAGAACATAGCTTTGGAAGTAGATGCATCTGGAGCCAGGGATGGCGTAGATAACCCATCCTACAATGGAGCCATCACAGTGTCTGGTAGTAGGAAGGTATGTTCTAGATCTAGAACTGTGAGCTACAATGTCTACAGTCCAGAAGTTCCACAAAAGCGTGTAAAGACCAAATACCCAACTCTCCAGTTTAAGAAACAAAAAAATGCAAATATTATTTCATTTATTGCTTAGTGTATTTTATCCATTGGTGTAATAAATAATTCATATATATATTATGTGTGTTAGCAAAATACATACTATATACAATTTCATATATTTAAAGATACAGTTAAGTCCAAAGAACTCATATTTCTTCTCAAGGACTTTTACAACTTATATATTCTAGAACATCTGTTTTGTTCTTATATAATAAACACTTCGAAACCTGGTGGTGCTAGCCTTAAGCAAGACATCTGGTAAACTTGATACGTGGTTTTGTTTTACTCTAAACATGCTTTGTTTACCTGTGCGTTTGCCTTTATTCGCACAGCATTTTACTTACAGTGTTTGGGGAGTTGTCTTATTTTATTTGAAACTATTTTAAAAGCAGGACTTGGGGCTGGGAGTGTAGCTTAGTGGTAAATGCTTGTCTTGCATAGAGGAGGTCCCAAGTTCATGTCCGAGTACCACAAATCAAACAACAACGAAAAGTGAAAACTCTTAAAATGTTGAATTTTGACTCTAGAAAAAAAATGAAAACTTTTGAAAATTCAGGAAAACTTTTGTTATATTTTAGAATTACAGCTTTTCATTTGCTTGCAATGCGAAGAGACTGAATTGCTTCCCAGTTCTTCTGGATATCGTTAGTAACGGGCTACTTCGGATGGTGAAACCATCAGCACGTATTCAGACTGACAGAAGCACATATTTGGAGGTAAGTTCGAGTCCCATGGACCGTCCTCCGAAATCATCTTTCCAAATGCCAGCGTCATAGTCTTCCTGACTCAACCCAACCATTGTATAACTGACGTTTGGGTTCACGCTTGCCCTGTGGGTCCAGAAATCAATGCACTTTTCAGGGCTTTGGGTTTTGTTTTCTTCTTTTTTTAATTTTTAATGAAAAGCAAAATATTGTTCAAAAGAATATGAAGAAAACAAAAGTGACATTGTGCCTCACTGTGACTAGCAGAACGTGATGAACAAACGGGAGGGAAGGAGGGAGGAAGAGGCGTTTTACTTTTACAAATACTACAACAGAAAAAGAATCAAGACAAAGTTCAGACTAGAATTCCAGACTGTCCACATTAGAATTACTCCAGGTTCTAGTCAAAAACATGAAGTTGGGGTTGGGGAGGAACTGACTGGGGTCTAGATTGGATGAAGAACTGTTATATAAGATGTACAGAAGCTCAATAAAAATATTTTTTTAATTAATTCCTTTGGCCCACCTTAGACCTACCAAGCCAGCTTTTCTAAATACGGAGGAAAAAAAAAATCCTATTTCTCTGCCTGGTGGATGTGGCACATTGTATTCCCAGTGTTGAGGAGACAGCGACAGGGGCTCTCCAGAGCAAACGGGCCAGCTAAACTAGCTGGGTTCGAATGACCCATTCCAATTGCTCAGGCCTTTGTTTATAAATAAGATTTTTTGCATGTTTTTATGTGTGTGGTATATGTCATGTGCATATGCATGTTTGTGTGCATGTGTGTGAAGGTCAGAGGTTGATGTCAGATGTCTCCTTCAGTCTCTCTCCACCTTATATCTGACATCAACCTCCGACCTTCACACACACACATGCAAAAACCTGCATATTGATGTAGGGAACATTGCATTTTTAAAGACAGTTCTATAAATACCTATATCTAGGGACTGACCCACAGTATAATAGTTACTTAATAACTTGTCTGTCAAATACATAAATGAATGTTATGGATTACTATTGTCTGTATTTCATTTGGCTCTTATGTTTTATGATAACTCATAATTCAAAATAATACATGTGGACAATGATCATTCACTACATATATAAAAAGAGTGCATATCCAGCATTATCTCCATGTGCTCCAGTAAACATCTTTATATCCCTTCTCCGACCACAGTTCATTGTGTGATCAGAAAGTAAACATTTTCCTCGATGTATTTAATTATATAAGACATTTAATCATTTTAGCCAAGCATAGTGACATATGCCTGTAATCCTAGCACTCAGGAAGTCGAGACAGGAATAGTGTGAGTTTAAGGGCACCTCAGGCTACATAGTGAGACTCTTTCTCAAAAAACAAAAACACAAAAAGGACTCAGTGGTTAAGTGCACTGGCTGTTCTTGCAGAGGACCAGGGTTCCCTTCCCAGCACCCACATGGTGGCTAAAATCCATCCTTTACTTCAGTTAGTTTCAGGAGTTTCAAGTGTATACATGGTCTACTTCCATACATGCAGGCAAAAAAACACTTATGCATACACAATAAAAAATAAATAGAACAAAAATTAGTAATTAAATGTAAAATAAGAAGGGTTTAGTCATTCGTCTAATTTATCTTTTATGGCTTTGGAGACATTTTAAACTTTCTGGTTACTGAGAAGTGGATATAATAATTGAGCACTTTAGTGTCCACTTAGGCGTCTCATGTTTGCTGGAATAAGTCTGATGCCAATGAGCTAGCTTTCCTGTATTTACACTCCCAACATATTTACTTTAACCAATATCTCTAGTCCCTCATTTTAGTCAGTATCTTAATTTCTCATTTCCAGCAAAATAGGAGTTTCTAGAGTTTCAGACCCAAGCCAAATCTAGTGAATTTGCCTCTGAGCACCTGAACCTGGATCTCGGTGTATTTTGGAGGTCTTCTGACCATGAAACAAACTCCATCCTCATCATTCTGGGGTCAGCAAGTGTCTTTCTGATGGTAAAGCTAAAGGCAGTCAGGCTCTGGTTATAACTGTCTTCAGTAATGTGATTAATCAAATCACTGTGTGAATTGTGAAATTACCATGGCTCTCGAGAGTTTGGGCATCTTCTTTCCTTCAGCGTAGTTACAGTGGCTGGAGCCAAGGTGAAGGTTCCCCTGGTGCTGTCACTCCTCCTCCTGGTGTTCCATCTCTGTTTTCGGATCCTCAGCCAGTACTGAGCTTGTCTCCTGATGAATCTAACATCTGATATGATTCCTGAGTCCAGCTACCCCATTTGAAATAATTAAAGAGCAGTTAGGAAACTGAAGATGCGAACTGTGAATCATCATTTATTACTTAGCATCAGAGTACATTTTGTAGTAAGTAAAATAAAAATATATTGTTATCACTTTCCGACTGTGCTACCAGTTTATGCATCTTCTTTGAATTGATTACTGGCAAGTTTGAGCATAAAGTCAAATAGTCAAAAGTAATGTTTCTAAGCTAGAATAATAAGAATTTTTTAAAATCTCAAACAGGAACTAAGACACACAATTAATTTCATATTTTTGATATTTTTATTTTTATTTAATTAATTAATGTATTTATTTATTTTATGTAGTTAACTACTATGTGAGAGCTGGGAATCAAACCCGGGTCCTCTGCAGGAGCAGCCAGTGCTCTTAACCACTGAACCATCTCTCCAGCCTGTCAGTTTCATATTTTAAAGATTTGTCCCATAAAAATAAACTTGGACTTTGTTCACTGAACTCATTGGATGCTTTGCCTTTTCAGAACATACAGGGCAGTCAATTTGAATACCTGGGGCACACCATGTTCTGGCTGGTTTTGGCATCCAGTTGTCCTCCATACATTGCCATGAGCAGCGTCAGCGATTATAAGGTAATAATGATCAACAGAAGCTTCAGTTACCCTGTGTGATCAGAAGCTAAGGGTAGAGCAAAGACATGATTTTTTTCATTGGATAGCTATGCGTGTTTAATTGAGCATCCACTTCAAGTATAAATTCTAAGAACAACAGGAAGCTTTATAAGTGTAAATAGTAAACAACGATCATGAAATTTGTACAGATGTGCAGAGAACCCAGTATAAACAAAACAACTTTGAAAGAGACAAAGTTGGAATCCTTAGGCTCTGACATCGAGACTCAGCACGAAGTTACAGTAATTAAGGATACGGGCCAGTGAGATGGCACAACAGGTAAAAACAATTTCTGTGCAAGCCTGACTGAAACCTAAGTTCGATACCCAGAACCCACAGTGAAAGGAAAGAGCTGACCACTGGAAGTTGTCCTCTAACTCCCATATTCACGCCATGAAATACATGTACCCATACTTATATACACTCTCATATACACCACAGTAATAATATAATTTTAATTACTAAAGTTAAATAATTGGGTCTTCTGACTAAGAATAATCATAGGCTATATAAAATGGAATAGAAAATCAAAAAACAAATCCACACATATATCATCAAGCCATTTTTAGTCAGTGTGCTGGATGGTTTTAGTGTGAACTTGACGTACCTGAGTTGAGGGAGCCAAAATTCAGGAATTTCCTGCATTGGACTTGCCTGTGGCCATGTCTGTGGAACATCTTCTTGACTGTTGAGTGATGTGGGAGGGCCCAGCCCACTGTAGGTGGTGCCACCCCTGGGCAGGTGGGCCTATGTTGTATAAGAAAGCAGGTTGAGCATGGGCCAAGGGAGCAAGCCAGTAAGCAGTGTTCCTCCATGGCCTGTGCTTCAGCTCCTGCCTCCAAGTTCCTGCCCTGAGTTCCTACCTTGAGCTTCCTGAACTGTGACGCAGGTGATGTAGGACAAATAAACCCTTTCCTCCCTAAGTTGGTAATGGTCAGAGTCACAGCAATGTCTGTTAGTTTATTCATACATTTTTTTTAATGTGTATGAGTGTTTTGCCTGCATGCATATAAGTGCACCACATGCATGCAATGCCTGCAGAGGCCAGAAGACAGTGTTAGATCCTCTAGAATTGGAGTTATGGATAGTTGTTAGCCACCACGTGGATGCTGGGAATTGAACCCAGGTCCTCTGGAAGAACAGCTAGTGTTCTTAACTTCTGAGTCATCTCTCCAGTCCCTGAGAAAGGATATTCCTCAGATGAGTACCTTACACAAAGTGCAAACTTAATTGGTGATTAATCATACATCTTGTGGTAGGGAAATATCCATATATGAGCCATAAGAGGTAGATAATAGTGAAAAATATAACTTGAATTTAAGATTAAAACCTTCTTTTCTTTACAAAACATCAGTAAGTCAAAGGTAATGATAGCCTGAAAAAAATATTCACAATGCGTATATATAAATATATATATATATACCCAAAGTCATTGATGGTATGACTTAAATATCAGTAATAGAAGATAACCTAATTTTTTAAATGGACAAAATCTTTGAACAGATAACTTTACTGAAGAAGATACACAAATAGAAAATATTTCCAAGAAACAATGACTAATACCATGAATCATCAGGGAAATGACCCCAGGGAGATACTCATGTACCAGATGAGTGTCATTAAAATGGCCACCCTCAGCCAGGGCGTTGGTGGCACACGCCTTTAATCCCAGCACTTGGGAGGCAGAGGCAGGTGGATCTTTGTGAGTTCTGGTCTACATAGTGAGCTCCAAACAGCTGGCACTACAGGGAAACCCTGTCTCAAAAAGACAGAAAAAAAAGTCCACCTTTATCAAGAGTCTGTGAGGATGTAGGAATATCGGAACTCTCATGCAAGCTGCCGTTAATATAAATTGTATGATCACTTTGCAAAATGATTTGACTATTTCTTGTAAAGCTCCAAACACTTGCTGTTATGACCTGGCAATTCTAAGTATTTACCCAAGAAAAATAAAATATCTGTACACAAAAAGACTTGCGTATGAATGCTCTTAGTAGCCTTTACAAAATAGTCAACAACTTGAAATAACCTAGATGTCCATTTAGATATAAATTGAGAAGGAAATTATGGCATAGCCATACATACAAGGGAATATTTCTCAGCAATATAAAAGGAGGAATGACTGACTACTAATAATGAGATGACAGACTCCAAAGTGGAAAATATTGAAGGTTTCAAGCTAATATAGTGACTATATAAATATAGTCACAGAGGCTGTGGTTTCTTATAACCAGCAGTGAAAGCTCTTGCTTGCAAAGAAGCAAAGGAAATTTGGAGGGATGATGGGAATGTTCTGTGTTTGTTAATTTTCTTGTTGCTGTGGCAAAATACCTGACAATAAGCAATTTAAAGAAAGAAAGATTTATGTTGGCTTGCAGTTAGAAGGGAAATCTATAATGGTGGGAAGGTGTTGTGGTAAGAACATGAGGGATGTCTGCCTCCAGTCAGGAAGCAGAAAGTGATGAACGCACAGTCAGCTGCTTTTTCCTTTGTATGCAGTCTTAGACCCCAGCCCATGAAATGGTGCTACCCCTGTTTACAGTGAATATTCCCACACCACTTAACCAAATCTAGATAATCACTCACAGACATGCCCGGCGACTTCTCTCCTAGGTAATTCTCGTTTCCGTCAAGTTGACAATCAACTAGCTTATGTTCTATACTTTGATTATGATTGTGGTACAGTAATATACACACACAACAATCCTCAGGCAAATAAAGGTGTAACGTGCATTTTTCTTGCTTGAACACTATACCTCAAAAAAGTTACCAAGAGAATATTGAAATAAAAGAAATAATATTTTGTAAATAAAAGAACTTGTGACTATAAAACTTCAATGTTTTAAAATTTCAATGTCTGACCAACAACTTAGTTTCTAATATTTTATAAGTCCAGGTAAATCTTTACTATATCTATAATTTATAGAATACAAAATATATAGCAATTTTATATTATATAATTGTATGTCAGTGTATATGTTTTATGTAACAACTATAATTGCTGTGGATAATAAGTGTAATTATATATGCTGCATAGTATATGTAATTCTATATCATATAATTATGCATGGTCATATACAGTATTTTAAATTCCTTATAGGGCTGGGATGTAGCTCTGTTGGTACAGTGCTTGCCTAGCATATGCAAAGCCCTGGATTTGATCCTCAACACTACATAAAGTGTGGTAGAAGAATCAGGAACATAGTGAGTTCAACTAGTCTGGGCTTCATGAGACCCTGTCTCAAACAAAAAATTTAAGTTCAATCACATATGTAGCACTACATATATACTTAATATGTGCAGTTATATAAAGACAGAGAGGCCAAGACAGAAGAATCCCATAATGGGAAATCAGTTACTAGGTAGATAAACCCTCCCTTCACCCACCTGCCTCTGTAAGGCAGTGTTCCGTTCACTGTCGTGTCCAAGCTTTGAAGACCAGAGGTCTACTTTCCCATATTCCAGCCGGATATGTGATGAACCTTGGTGTCCATCATGTAAGCTGCAGACTAATAGGTGTGTCCATCAGTCATCCACATCTCTTAGCCTGGATAGCATCTGTAGCCCCACACTAGTGTTACTATCAATAAATATTTGATTTGAATATTTGCTAACTTAATCTCCATTTTCTTAAAACTGAGACCAATGTGTCACTTTGTGCCTCTGCTCTTTCCTGAACAGATCAAAGCGTGGTCCCAGCTGCGGATCTCAGGTCTCTTCCCTTCTGCTTACTGGTTAGGGCAGGCGCTGGTGGACGCTCCCCTCTACTGCTTGGTCTTCATCTTCATGTATTTAATGGACTATCTTTTCAGCTTCCAGGAGACTGTATTTACAGTTATAAACCGTATTATGCAAGTAAGTGACAGCATCCATAATACAGATTTCAAAGGATGACTTAGAGAAGTCAAAGATTCAAACTTCTTTCATTACTGTACTGCCACAGTGGAGTAACTGTAAGGTTGCACTGTGGCAATGTTTTAGAGCCTAAATGTTTTCCTGGATTGCATTAGTCTTTAACTCACCTTAACATTCCTATTGATTTCAGATCCCATGTTCCATCGGCTACTCTATGTCTCTTATCTTCTTAACGTATGTGATCTCATTCATTTCTCGCAAGGGGAGAAAAAACAGTGGAATCTGGTCATTTTGCTTCTATATTGTAAGTGTGCCTCTTGTCAACATGTATTGTATATATTTGGTAGACAATTTGAAGTGAATACTTTAAATTATGCCCTCTGTAGAATGGTAATTAATATTTCAGTCCAAGATATTTTACATTTGCCTCAAAACCAGATCCTTTTCAGTATCCACACATTTCCCCAACCTAGCTAGATCCTTGTCTTTTGCAAAAGTGGCCACACTGTTTCTATAAAATACCAAGCTAGAATGAATCCAGGGAGCCATTCACATTTTCCTTTTACTGAAAAAAAAAATAAATACAAAGACCTTCACAAACTTACACAGTTACAAATTCTGTTATTAGTATAGGTGGGACTGGAGAGATGACTCAGCAGTTAAAACTGTGTACTGCTCCAGCCAGACACTGTGGCATACGCCTTTAATCCCAGTACTCAGGAGGCAGAGGCAGGTGGATCTCTGTGAGACTGAGGTGAGCCTGAGGTGGTCTACACAGCGGGTTCCAGGCCAGCATGGGCTACATGATGAGACCCTCTATCAAAAAGAAAAGAAAGAAGGAAAGGAAGGAACGAAGGAAGGAAGGGAGGGAGGGAGGGAGGGAGGGAGGGAAGGAAGGAAGGAAGGAAGGAAGGAAGGAAGGAAGGAAGGAAGGAAGGAAGGAAAGCAAACAAGAGCAGAAGAACTGCTCTTCTAAACCACAAGAGTTTGGTTCCCAGCATTCACATCTGTCAACTCAAAACTGCCTGTAACTACAGTTCCAGGGGATCTGACACTGTCTTCTGTCTTCTGGCCTCCTCAGGCACACACACATGCATGCACACACGCACACAAATAAAAATAAAAGAAATCTTAATTTAAAAACCACAGAAACAACTTTTCCAAACTTCTTATTGAGGAGTAACTCTATACCCCACAAGGCCACACTTCTTTTGTCTAAATTAGAGGAAAAGCAAATTATATGTGAGCATCTTCATGATTTCACCAAGCAGAGTTTCCTTTAAGAGGTGAACCCTGGAGATGGGGAGATGGCTTGTGGATAAAGTGCTTGAGGAATGGGGTTCAGATTCCCTCAACCCAGTAAAGAAAAAGAAAAGATCAAAATGTAGTTGCACCTACAACCCCATCATTGGCAGATGGAGGACCCTGAGGACTGCCGGGCAACCAGGCCAGACAAAACAGTGAGCTCTGTGTTCAGTGAGAGACCTTGTCTCAAAAAACAGGATGGGGTGGGGGGTGACAGTAGAAAATTATGAAATCAACCTCTCTGGTCTCTTCACACTCAGGCACAAGCAACAACCCCCTACACAAAAAATAATAAATAAATAAGTAGACAGATAGATGATAGATAGATAGATGATAGATAGATAGATAAATAGATAGACAGATAGATAGACAGACAGATGATTGATTGATTGATTAGATAGATAGATAGATAGATGATAGGTAGATAGATAGATAGATAGATGATAGATAGATAGATAGATTTAAAAAGTCTGGGTTGAAGATAGATAGATGATAGATAGATGATAGATGATAGATAGATGATAGATAGATAGATAGATGATTGATAGATAGATAGATAGATAGATAGATAGATAGATAGATAGATAGATGATAGATAGATGATAGATAAACAAATAGAGGAGAAGGAGGAGGAAAAACCGAAAGAGGAGAACGATTCCAACACATAGAAAAATGTGACGGTGCAACCAGGGCGGTTGAACAAAACACGGACAGGGTGTCCAGGCTTCTCCCAGGAGCTGATAACACTTTTTTGAGGCCATGAAACAAAAACAGGTGATTCTTCGGAAAGGCTTTGTTATAATGACTGGTACCAGTTAGGGGCAGGCCTTATATTGTGTGCTCAGAGATTTATCTACATGAGAAGTCATAGACGTTCATAAAACAGCTGATAAACACAAGAGACAAATTAGGAAGGAATGCTCTAACAGATAAAAATTTGGGTTTTAGATAAAAAAAAAAACAATTAAAAGTACATACATGTTTAAGAGGGCATCCCAACGTTCTAAGACAAAACCTGAAGGTTTAGATGTGCTCACAACTTCCTTTTTCCTGGAATGTTGCATTCTGGTATTTCTGCTTAAGCCCCCACCCCCACCCCCACGGAATACCAAATGCTGTTTTTTTCCCATCATTGCAGTTAACAAAAGTCTCCTCTCATTTTCGCCTTAAAAGTCAAATACACTATAAACTAATAAAGGGATTTATGAAAATCAGTGAAGAGGGCTGTTTATGAAAATAAAAGTAGAAATTTCCTTTAAGAAATGAAACCTGCTCAGACTGATGGCACACGTCCTTAATCCCAGTACTTGGGAGGCAGAGGCTGGCAGATCTCTGTGAGATCAAGGCCAGTCTGGTTTACATAGTGACTTCCAGGGTCAGATGGGGCTATAGGGAGACCGTGTCTCAATAAAAACAAATAAACAAACAAAAAAGTGAAACCCAGGGCTGGGAGAGCTCGGTGGGTGCGGTGCTTGCTGTGCGTGCATGAGGACCTGGGTTGCCCTTCTCAGTATTTTTTTTGTTTTTTGTTTTTGTTTTTTTTTTTCTGGTAGATATCAATTTCAATTTTTCCCTGTGATTTCTGTTTGTCTACTATTCTGAATGTTTACCTCGAAAAAGGTATACCAGCTTTTACCCCTTTGCTGGAGTTAAAATATTCTGTGTATCAGATCCTAGGTTTACCTAGTAATAGCTCATTTGTATAGTCTAGGCCACAGGAATTTCCAAGAGAGAATGTTGATGGAGGTAGAGTGACTTCAGTTTGGACTGTGAGTTGAGACTGATGATAGCTACAGTTTTCTTTCTCTCATATGTGCATTTAATTTAAATATCTATTACTTGAGTATATATGAAACTTGAAAACAGGAGGGGGATATTTTCGGGGTGAAAGAGGATCAGTGGGAAGAGAGAAGGAGGATAGAAAATATTAACAAAGTACAATTATATATAAAATGGAGGAAAATGTCATCATAAAGTCCCGTGTTTTGTATAACTTTTTGTTCCAGGTTTTTACGTTTTATTATTTATTTATTAATTCGTTTATTTATGTATGTATTTATTTTAGAATATTTTTATTTTTCCAAAGAGAAGCAATTTTTAAAAATAATTTACAGAATTGGGAAAGAAATGGGACATGGCATCTTTGAGATCAACCATCTTGATTTGGAAACACGAAATGAAATAAAGAGTAGCTAAAATTCATATTCATATTCTTTCTAGATCACCCTGTTCTCTACCGTTGCAATGATACTGGAGTCCCACGGGAACAGTACAGTGTATTGCGTCATCTTTTTAATACCACAAGCCACCCTGGTTGGCTGTTTGTTCTTATCTTTTCATGTAAGTACTACCACTGTCCAACATCCTGGACCTCATGACCAATTGTGAAAGTTTGGCTTCTGTGTAGGTATCTAGAACTTGCTGAACATGTATGCAGGTCCGGCTGGTTTTCTCCCACGTGAGAAAACACGTTCCACCTGATGGTTAACAGAGCATCTGACTCTGGTTAACACAGGAAGATAAAGAATGGGTGTTGGAAACTAGAACAGCATCCACAGTCACTTTGTTTCTTCCTTGCCCCTGGGCTTACTTAGCTTCTGAAGGAAGTGAATGAAATACTGTTACTCTTCAAGCTTTCTAGGGTTTCGAGAAGCGTCTGGTGTGAATAAAGTCCCCTTTTTACTGTCTACCAGATCCCTACACTTCTGTAAAAAGAGGGTGCATTGCATGAATGAGGGGAGCCCTGTTAGAAAGGGAAGTGGGAAGGAGAGGCATCATGCGGAGGAGGAGGAGCAGGGGCACCGGAAGCTCGCCTGGAGCTCTGTGCAATGGGAGGAAGTGGGGTCTCTTACCCTTTGAGGAGGTTGGCTCAGGTGCCCCAGATCCTTTCTCACCAAGATCAGTGATGGAAAAGGCTCATTGCTTGAGATGAAATCTCATAAACCTTAGAGGCAAGACAGCCAGCCCCTCAGCATGCATGTTGGAAGGGACACTTGCTTGAAACTCATTGTACACGAGGGAAAATGTCAGCAGTGCTATTTGGGGCCAAGTCACATTTTTAGAGATAAAATCTGTGAAGCACAAGTTTCTTATTCGTCCATTGTTTTTTTCTTTTTCTAGCTTCTCATATTTCGTATTTTTAATGAAGAACCAAAGTCCTCAGAGCCATTTCTGGTGTTCCTCATTGTAAGCAAAGATTCTTTCAAAAACAAGTTGTTCTTTTTTTTTTTTTTCCTCTACGTTTTTAATTCTTATACATGGTGTGTGGGTTTGCATATTATTGTAGAGATATGAGTATCTGTAGCCCATGGAGACTTAATGTCTGTAAAATCTGAGACAATTATTTTTATAAAGATAACTGACAATATAATGTTCTGTCCGGATATTAAGAACATAGTATAGTTGTAAAATAATAGAATAGAAGTAATTGTATCCCATGATTACCCTTTTTGTAAATGAGCATAAACTTGGTTGATTTCAAAAATACCAACTAGGTTATTGGAAATTTGTCATGATGTCACTGAGAGGTTTTTTGTTTTTTTTTTTTGTGGGAGGTTTTTGCTCTTTTTTTGAGACAGGGTTTCCCTCTAGCCCCAGCTGGTCTGGACCTCACTATGTAGACGGGGCTGGCCTGGAACTCACAGAGGTCCACCTGTCTCTGCCTCCTAAGTGCTGGGATTAAAGGCGTGCACCACCTTTAAAAAAGTGTATTTTTGTAAGTCCAATTATTCCTAGCTCACCTCTAATACTAAAACAATGATCTTTTCATGTTTCTAATTATACTTTCTGTCTCTGTATTCCTAGCCTTTCCTTCATGTTTTCATTTTTCTTTTTACTCTTCGATGTCTGGAATGGAAGTTTGGGAAGAAATCAATGAGGAAGGATCCCTTCTTCAGGTTGGAAAAGATCAGACTGGAGTCCCTTCTTTCATTGATCAATATTCTATATTTCTTTCATGTATAAACCAATCTATTAATATGAATGTGTTGCTGGGTTAGGGTAGATCATGGAAGAACAGTGTACTGATGCAAATAGTAGAGGTCCAGTTACCTAAACCGAAGGAGATTAAGTGCTTGTGGCAGAGACAGATCTGAACTACTGACTTTAAGGGCTCCGACACTGTGCCATGGAATACTTGGGGAGGTGTACGTGGACTGTTCTATAAGTGTACTGATGCAAATAGTAGAGGTCCAGTTACCTAAACCGAAGGAGATTATGTGCTTGTGGCAGAGACAGATCTGAACTGCTGACTTTAAGGAGCTGTTAAGCAGATTAGTTAAAAGAATGCCACCATTTAGGAATAAGAAATAATGGAATTCCCAGTCAACAAAAGCAATAGCTGTGCCCTTCCACTAGGGCAGTAAGAAGCGCAGACTCGTTCGGTGACAGGGCACACAAAGGTGGAGTCTAGGTTTTCTGACCCATTTGTGAATGTACCACATCCCTGGTATCCCCGCTAGGTCCTCATCAGCTGTAACTTGTGCTGTTACAGAGGGTGGGATAGGAGACTTGGGAAAGGAAGCAAGAGTGAGCACGGCACAGATTTCAAAGAAACAGTTGGGCTTGATGTGAGGCCAAGCATGCAACTTGTATTTTCTGAAAGAGTGCTGATCATTTTTATTCTTTGAAAATGTGATATGTGTATACGGTGCATTTTGGTCATAGCCACCCTTCAGTTCCTCCTTCCAAAACTCCCACAGTCCCAACATCTCCCTCCCAACTCCATGTCCTCTCTTCTAAAAATTCCACTGGGTCTAATTAGTGCAGTCCATATGCGGATGGATATGGGGTCATCCACTATGGGAATCCCCCTTAATAAAAAGTGACCCTCCCTCCCACAACAACCACTGACCACGAGTTCCTCAGCTATGGTGGGGGCATCAGGAGCCCCTCCTCCCCCACGCTAGAATTTTTAACTGGCTTGGTCTTGTCCAGGTTTTGTAGAGGCAGCCATAGCTGCTGTGAGTTCATGTGTGCAATGGCGTGTTGTGCTCAGAGGACAGCATTTCACAGCACTCCCCCCACCCCATCCTCTGGCTCTTAGATTCTTTCTGATCCTCTTTGGGTGTGTTCCCCGAGCTTGTGGGGTGGGACTGACATAAATGTTCCATCCACAGCTGAGCACTCACAGTCACGTATTCTCTGAAATATTCTGATTTTAAATATTCTGGCTCATTTTCCCCATGAGAACATAACAATGTGAGCATGCTGGTGTCAAGCTAAGGGTCGAAGATTTATTCGGTTGAACTATGTTGTCCTCTTTGGGTGTGTTCCCCGAGCTTGTGGGGTGGGACTGACATAAATGTTCCATCCACAGCTGAGCACTCACAGTCACGTATTCTCTGAAATATTCTGATTTTAAATATTCTGGCTCATTTTCCCCATGAGAACATAACAACGTGAGCGTGCTGGTGTCAAGCTAAGGGTCGAAGATTTATTCGGTTGAACTATGTTATTAAAAACTTGTCAGATAAGTTCTAAGTTATCTACCAACATTGAAAACTATTTCCAATGATAAGTAGAAAGGAATATAGGCAAGAAGTGATGGTCGTTAAGCTTAGCAGCGCTGTCGAGGGGACAAGGGGTCTGCAAAGGAGAAGTACCAGCCTCACTGAAGGGAAACAAATGCGTTCTGTATCATGTGGCCTGCTTGAGTATGAGGTTTGAAGAATGCAGCATTCTTAACACAAGGACAAAAGTCACTGATGGAGTGTTGCTGTATGGTTTTGACTAGAATTTCTCCAAGAAGCAATGATGTGTGTCAAAACCCAGAAGAACCAGAAGGAGAAGATGAAGATGTTCACATGGAAAGAGTGAGAACAGCCAGTGCCTTAAGTTCCACAAATTTTGACGAGGTAAACATGCATAGTTATTTCATCAGATAATACAAACGTGTATTCATTAAAGCAATGAGTCTACTGATCTGATTCTCTAGTAATTTTGAGTTTCTTTAGTCTTAGCAAATGAGAATCACTATTTTACAAAATGGTTGATATTTTTACATCTAAATGAGCCGATTGAAAGCAATTTAGCGTTTCATGTTTCCTAGAATAAATTAAAATACAAAGTACAGTTGAAACTAAAAATTAGGAAAGACTTTTAGAAACTGAGGTAAAGCCAGACCTGGTGATGCACTCTTTTAATCCCAGCACTCAGGAGGCAGAGGCAGGTGGATCTCTCTCAGATTGAGGCCAGCCTGGTCTACATAGTAAATAGTGAGTTCCAGGTAAACTGGGGCTACAGAGAGGCCCTGTCTTTTAAAAAACCCAGAAGCTGAGGTACAGTAATACGAATCACTACTTTTGGAGAGAGCACACACAGTGTTTAACTTAAAGCTCTCTGCCTGAAACTTTTCATGTCTGTTTGCCCCTGTTTGGGGAGCCAGGCAAGCTGTATAAAACGATGTGCTAGCTGTCTTTGTAGGGGAGGGACAGTGGTGACTTCACTCCAAAACTAAGGGCTAGATTAGAATGGTGGGAAGGGAAAGCAAGCCGCCTAGTAAAGAATCACTTTGATGCATAGCCAAGGCAGCAAAGGGTAACACCAATGGAAGGACAGATAGAAACAACGAAGGTCTGATGTGACTTCCTCATCACCGACAGAGGCCAGTTATTGTTGCCAGCTGCCTGCGCAAGGAATATGCAGGCAAAAGGAAGCGATGCTTTTCCAAGAAGAAGCCTAAGGTGGCCACCAGGAACATTTCGTTCTGTGTTAGGAAAGGTAAGACATGGACTTTCCCATGGTTTGCTCAGAGCTTCCTGCTTCCCGGAGAGAACCCTGCACCTACCACCCACTGGCTCACATGCAGACCCCTCACAAGGATAGCCTGACTTGTGGATCTCATTTTAAAGTAAATTCAGTCATTCCACAAATAGGCACCTGGTCACTTCTACCCAGAAATCATGGGCTGCTACAGTGAAGCAGGAAAGGACATTTCTACTAAGCCAACACAACTGACTTCCTAATGTTCATTATTTTTCACAAGAGAACTGGCTGGGGATGTGCTGACGCATTCTGAAGGTGTGGCCAGCCAATGTTAGGAGGCCTCAGTTGGTATCACTGCTACACAATGCTTAGGATCTCAGGAGATAGAATCGGCCACTCTTGACTTACAAGAGTGGGCTTGCCAATTTCTATCAAGGTGACTTGGACAAGTAACGTCATTCTTGAGAGTTTTTATCCTCAGATATGGAGAAAAGACTGTGATTTCTTTTCTCAGAATGTGACAGTTAAATGGGATGCAGTGTGCCAAACACGTCACAGAACTTGTGTCTCATGGTGAGATTTCAGACAACGTTTTACCCTTAATTTTACTACTATAATTAATATCCAGTGTAATTGCTGTTTTTCAGGTGAAATTTTAGGATTGTTAGGACACAATGGAGCTGGTAAAAGTACATCTATTCGGATGATAACTGGAGACACAAAGTCCACAGCTGGCCAGGTAGGAGAATTATGTACAAATAATGTACTCTAGTGGTATGGAAAATAAAGTTGCAGAATGCTCTGTCTTCATAAACAGTAAGATGCCTTTCTGTCATTAAGTGATTGAAGTGATGAACACAATACACAGGGGTGTAAGTTCAAACACAGAACATAAGACACATAAAAATCTGAGCCCTGGAGCCAGGTGTGATGGCACATGCCTTTAATCCCAGAACTCTGGATGCAGAAGAAGGCAGTTCACCACGAGATCGAGGCCAGCCTGATTTATGGAGTGAGTTCCAGGCCAGCTGGGGCTACAGGGAGATTCTGTGCCCCAAAACAAAACAAAAAAAATACAAAACTAATCAAGCCCTCAAAAAGAATAATTATTTGAAGGCATTCAGAGGGAATGTTCTGTGACAGACTAGAAATCAATATCGGAATCCATACAAATTATGTTAATTTTCAACCAAGGTCATTGGATTGTTCCCTCAGCATGTAATACTCTAAGCTTGAGTAAAGCTGTTTTTAAAAATCAAGTGTCTATGTCCATTGACCTTCACAGAGCACTTAGTTACTCAAATATACATTATTTGGGAAGTGTTGTGGTGTTTTGTGGTGGTCGGACCTCTGTCTCAGGGGGCAGGGGATGAATAGGCACGAAATCAATGACTCAGACTTAGGGAGATCCTGCTCAATAGCAGGTTGCCAGCAAGCTCGTTTATCGCATACAAAGGGCTTTCCTTTATACCCCTGAACCGCCCCTATTGGCCCTGAAGGCTGAGCTGTGTGTTGTCCATTGGTGTGGCTGTTGCCTCATCTGTCTCTAGCCCGAGTGGTAGATATCAGGTTAGCAGTTTGGGGAAGTTGGCTGCGTAATGATAGTGCGCCTGCGCAGAGGTTACCAGATCTGGTATTTTGGCAGATACCCATGGGCCTCCTCCTACATTTCCACCCTTTTGTTGTTAAAGGAAGCCCAGCGGGAGTCAGGATGCTGTCTGACATTATTGTGCCCGCCTCAAAATGACCTCTAAAATACGGGTTGTGACTGCCTTAGGTTGTTCTCATTCGGGGCACAAGTCTTACCCATCATGGGAGCATGCATCTGGCCCACGCATGTCCTGTCTTAAGTTGACTTGTCTCAGTGGAATCTTAACCATCTTTGTCTACCAACCCTGAGGGAGGTTTAGTTTCAGGGGGGTCTGCCCGGGTAGGGGCTAGTTTAGGAGGAGGCCTTTTGTATCTGTTAGCCAAGTCTCTATAACCTCCTGAGGAGGGCCCTGGTCTAGATGTTGTAGGGCCCAGAGGACCTGAAGGGTTGTTTTGTTGATGGTCTGCTGGCACGGATATGTGACAGTAGGCACCTGAGGATGAACAACACAAGGAGGAGCACGCCTCCTACTATTAAATAGGTTAGTAACGAAGGACCTGTTCAAAATAGGGGAGTCTGGGCCTGATTCTTTGGCAGCCTTGTGGATAAGTGAAAGGTCCATCAGGGGTGTCCGTGCCCAGGGCTGTTGAGTAGCATTTGCACCGACATTAACAGGAAAAACGAAAGTAGGGGTTTTTTGAGGATTTGAGAGTCGTGGCTGGGGTGGAGGGGCAGGTTTAGGAGGGTCCGTGGGTGCGACGTAGTTATTTTGCTCCACGGACAGATGGGGGGTGGTGTTTTGGCACGAGGCGGAGGGGGTGAGCTAGCATGGGGGCTTTTTTGGAGGGGTTATGTCCGGGAAGGTCTCAAGGTTGCATGATAGCACTGCAGCCTGGGGTCTTGAAATAGAAAGCATGGGCATCTTTTGTTCCTGGCAATGTTCGTTGAAGGATTTTAGGATATCCTCAGGAGAGTCGGATTTAATACAACCGAGGATACCCAGTAAAGTCGGAACACAAGGGCCAGTGGCCACTGTACCTTCCTGTATTTACCATTTAAGGGCTAGAAAGAACACCCACATCCAGAGATCTGGGTCCCAGACGTTTTCGGGGGAGATCCATGGGGCAAGAGTAGATGCCTCCACCCAGAAGTTTTCTAAATCATTAAGCTTAATCTTGAGGCCATGGGTTACCAGGAGGGATTTTAGGGCCTGAAGTTGGGGTTCCTTACAGTGTGAGGGAAAGTTACCCATTTTAGGGGGAAGAAGTTGTAGAGGAGTTGGGGCTAGGGTGGTTGAAGGGGAACTTGCCACAAAAATAAGAGGCTACAAGGACAACAACGATTGCGAGGACAAGGCAAAGTAAAACAGCCACTCAGACTGGAAGCGAGCAGACATAGGGGAGTGTTTTATGGACCAAGATGTCTTGTGCTTAGCGGAGAACTTCTGTGGTTTGTTAGGCCACAGCCATATGCCCACACGGTGTCTCCGATCGCTGGGTGTCTGTTGGGAGTACACCCGTTGGTTCCGTCTCCTGGGTGGTCAACCCTTATGTGGAGGTATCAGGCGAACCAAGTACAGGGGATATGTACCTGAGGGAGGTGAAAATGGGCAATGTCAGGGTAGGGTCGGGGGAGAAGACAAAAGGGAAGAAAAGACGCGTCTCATGGCTTACCACCCGTGGAACGTAAGACAAAGGAGCCTACTCACCGAAGAAACAGCCGAAGGGGGCCAATCATGGCCGATGTGAGAAGCGAGAGGGTCCAGAACCCACGTTGGGCACCAGTTGTTGCTGTGTTTCGTGGTGGTCGAACCTCCGTCTCGGGGGCCAGGGGATGAGTAGGCACAAGATCAACGACACAGATCTCAGGAGAGACTAGTCATCAGCAAGACGCCAAAAAGATCATTTATTGCGTACAAAGGGCTTCCCTTTGTACCCCCCGAACCTCCCCTATTGGCCCTAAGGCTGAGCTGTGTATTGTCCATTGGTGTGACCATCACGTCATCTGTCTCTAGCCCGAGCAGCAGATATCAGGTTAGCAGTTTGGGGAAGTTGCCTGCGTGATGATAGCGTGCCTGCACAGAGGTTACTAGGTCCGGTATTTTGGCAGATACCCATGGGCCTCCTCCTACAGGGTAGAATGATTTTAATGGATAAATTGAAAATGAGCAGCAGAGATGTGATGATGATTTGAATCGTACTTGAAAAAAGAGGAGAACTTAGAGTTATCAAAGAGAAAGACATCTGGAACAGAAATGAAACCATTTCCCCAAATTCCATACCAGAGTCTTGAAAACCAATTTGGAAAGTGTGTCCAGGGAAGCCCAGAAAAGGGTACAGTGCAGAAGCCTATAGACCTCCACCAAGGAAGGGGGTTAGTGGTCAGGACAAGAAGTGAAGGGACAGATATCTGTTGGCAGATATCCCAGAGAAAACACTGATGAGTTGCTAAATCTAACAAGAATATTTATGTCAGTTGCAACCTGTCTCCAGTGCCCTTCAACTCAGTCACTACCTGGGCCCCTAAATCATGGATTCATTTTTTCTTGAGTGTGGAAGAAGATGACTTCTCTATGAAATATATCAAAACTAAGGTCTGGGGAGATAGCCCAGTCAGTGTTTGCTACACCAGCATGATGCCCTGAGTTTGGTCCACAGACACATTAAAAAGCCAGGCATGGTGGCCTGTGCCTATAATCCCAGCACTGAAAAGGGAGGGAACAGGCAGGTCCCTGAGGCTCATTCGCCAGGCAGTAGCCTAATCAACAAACTTCAGGCCAATGACAGACTGTTTCCAAAACCCAAAACCAAACCAAGCAAACAAAAAATCCAAGGTGGACAGCTCTTGAATAATAACATCTAAGGTTACCATCTGGACTCCACATGCATGGGCACACATACATGTGCACATGCATACACATGCACTCATATGAACCTGCACATGCACACACCTGCACCACGTGAACGCACATACTCATACGAATCTGCACAAACAGGTACCCACGCAAATGTGCATATGCACACACACATACATGCGCCAACATGAATACATACACATATTCACTCACTCGATGTCTGAAGTATAAAGCTAACTTAATCACATCACCCAGCGTGAGGTTTTATCGCCATGTCATTCTGTTTACGCCCTTTCAGCCGCCCCTCCACTCTGACTGGCAGGTCGCCTCTCCCTGGTCTTGAGGCAGCTGCAGGAGGTCACCTCCAGGTCCTCGTGCTGCATTTCTACCCTCTCCTCTTGCTGACAGGGCCACAAGCCTGCCCTGGCCTCAGTGTGGAAAAAACATCGCACTTCATCACTCTGTCCCCACATCTCTTGCCTTGTCTCTTCCCATGACTGGCAGCTTCTCTTCGGTTAAAATGACCCTTTTGGAGATAGACAAGCTTTCTAACCACCTGACTCCAAATTTCTCCCTCTGTTATTCTCCCTCCCAGCCTCCAAATGCCTACCACAGCCCTGCTTCTAATCTGCCTTTATTCTTTTTATTCATTCCCCTACTTGTTAGCTGCCTGATACACTCAGTAGAATGAAAACTTTGAAAACAAGGTACTGGTGATTTCAGTCCCCCTTTGTATTAGTTTCTGTTGTCGTGATAAAATACCACGATTAAGGGCAACTTAGAGAAGAGTTTGTTTCGGCTTATGGTTCCAGAGTGTTAGAGTCCATGACAGGAAGGTCCCGCTACAGACAGCAGGAGAGGGAATCTGGCCAGCCATGTCTTTCATTCGCACACAGGAAACAGGGAGCAAGCAGGAGCTGGGCAAGGCTATAAATCCTCCAAGTGACATACTTCATCCATCAAGGCTGCATCTCCTGAAGGTTCCATGACTTCCCCAAACAGTGCCACAGCTAGGCACCAAGTGTTCAAACACATGGGCCTATGGGGAGCACTTCTCATTCAAATGCCAACACCCCCTACCAACAGTCAGTATAGCATCTGTCACAGAAGAGGTGTTCAGACGACATTTGGGGGCTGGAGCTATAGGTCAGTTAGTAGTGTTTGCCTGGTATGTGCAAGAGTTCAGGCCTTAGTGCTGCAAAAGACATTTGGTCAATGAAAGAAGTTATTAAGATGTTTCAAACAATGGTGCAAAAACACTGGAAATGAACTGAGGGCCAAGATGGCAGGACACCGGGTTTGTGGGATACTTAATGCTGGCTTAGATTAAGTTGCTGACTATGTACACATTTGGTTACATATAGCTACCACCAAGAAGCATTCTCCAATGTAAATGGTCACAAATGCTAAATTCACTTTGGTCCTAGAGTTCCTCTAGTTTGTGTAGCTTTGTAGAGAAAGTTGTCACAGAAGTACTCCGAGGTGCAGTGCACAATGTGGGCTCTGATGGTGACCTTTTATCCATAGGTGTTACTGAAAGGGACTAGGGAAGGGGACACCCTGGGCTTCCTGGGATACTGCCCTCAGGAGAATGTGCTGTGGCCCAACCTGACCGTGAAGGAGCACCTGGAGGTATTTGCTGCCGTGAAGGGGTTGAACAAAAGTGATACCGCAGTCACCATTATGAGGTACACAGGGGCTGCATCTTTCTGTTCCCTACCTGGGGGTTGAGGGGGTTGAGGTGACAGCATTCACAGGAAACTTGGGGTGAACAGCTCTAGATGTTGACCTAGGTCACACTTGGCAGATTTACAGCTAGAAAACAGCTTCCCAGGTTTGAGAGTGTTAGATTTTTTTTCCTATCATATTAAACATGGAAATAAAAAGCTATATATTGGTAAAATGTATTGGAAATACTAAAATGTAAACTATTAATCATAGAACAACTATTTTAATAATAAATATGTAACTATACTCTTTCAAAGGTGATGGTATTTGCGGGGGTTGTCAAGCTGGCCAGTAATATTACCTGTTTCTCAGTTCCAGAAATGCACCTATGGCCCCACTCCCCCATCTTTTCCTGCCTTGACCCATCCTTTCATCAGTGTCCTCATTGTGGAGTGGACTGTGATGCTCAACTGTTTCCTACAGGTTGGTGGACGCACTCAAGCTGCGAGACCAGCTGAAGTCTCCCGTGAAGACGCTGTCAGAGGGACTGAAGAGAAAGGTATGTACAGGGCTCAGTGTGACTCTGAGCATCCCCTTGGTGCAGTGCTGGATGGGCTGTCCCTCTTGTTGTAGCTGTGCTTCGTGCTGAGCATCCTGGGGAACCCGTCTGTGGTGCTGCTGGATGAGCCGTCGACTGGGATGGACCCCGAGGGGCAGCAGCAAATGTGGTGAGAAGCTCCCCACAACCAGGGCTGCACCCACACCTCATAGGAAGTTTGCAAATACTTATTTAAAAATTGTGCTGAACGAGCTGAGGACTTGAGTTCAGATCCCCAACACCCATGTAAAAAGCCAGGGTGGTGGCACTTGCCTGTAATCTGGGGCGGTGAAGGCAGGAGGATCCCAGGAGCTCACTGACCAGCTAGTCCTTCCCAACTAGTGAGCTTCAGTTCAGCGAAAGACACTATCTCAAAAAGATAAGGTGGACAGCAACAGAAAAAGACTCTAACCTCCACAAGCATGTGCACACCTACACATGCATTTGCACAGGCACACAAACACGTATATGTGAATATAGCACATGCATAAAAGGAAAAAACAACATGCCTTAAACGTTTTATAAACATGGAAAACAAAAATGGTAACACGGTTAGTAAAACCATGCTTTGCCAAAAAATATTATCTGATAATATTTCATAAGGATTTCTCAGAAAGAAAGAATATGTATTGTTAGCGTCCAAGCTAGTCACAGTGACTAACATGGTGCATGGGGATTTTTAGGGCTGATATGGTGACTTCTGTGCCACAATCTCATGTTTCGTGTCAGGCATGTGAACAGTAGTTCTCATTAAGTTGTAAAACTTGCAGTTATTGGTGTTTACACTGCGTCTACTTTCTTTCCACTTGGTTAAGGCAAGTGCTTGGTTAAGTGCTGTTGAGTTTTGCTCAAATTTTCTCTTTTGTCTTTTTAAAAAAATTTTGTTGAGCTTTTGTGCATTTCATACAACAGTTCTTAATCAAATTGACTGCCCCTCCCTCATCCATGCCCCCACTCCCATTCCACTGGACATACATGTTAAGTCCTATCCAGTGGATGAACTTGCTCCACAGGGCATCTG